ATTTGAGTTGCTAAATGAGCTTCATCTAAATGCTTTTAAAGCTCAATAAGTTTTGAATTTACGTCTTTTGATGAAAACCATAATTTTCAAGGAAATGCTCCATTTGAAATGCTTTGAAATGTAACTTTTTTACTCTCAATGCTAGACTAGAGAGTAAACTAACATGATTGGAAAAAGATGCAGATTGAAGGTGAACATGAACATGAAATGGATTTAGAAGTTTGAAAATATTTTTCTTCTGTCAAAATTGTTTCCATCAAACTTGTGATCCTTAACACACTTTTATTCAACTTCATCTTTCCAATAAAAATGTACATTTGAATACAAGCGAATCCACTTAACAGGGAAAACCTTTGATTCCTGTTCATGGAGCATCAACAAACTCGAACAGCAAGAAGTGTAATGTTCAAGAAATGATGGGAAAAAAGAAGTAAAAGAAAGAAAATCAAGGGAAACAAATCAATTTGCACACTATTCAAAGTCAATATCAATGAGATAAATTGTTTAGAAACGAAACGAACAAAAGAATGAAAAACGAATCGAATTTAGTTTTGCAAAGTTTACATTTTTCATTCGAGTTTTAAGCTCGCTTTTGCACACTTGAAAACAAAGGCAACGAATTCGTATCAAGATTAAAGGAAAACATGAAATGAGTCGAGCAATAGTCGAAGTGAGAAAAGCCTCCGAGGAGTGATTAAAGTTGCAAGAAAAAAACGAAAAGAAAAAATTCGAAGAAAAGGACTGACATGGATATTTATTTTGCATCAACAATTCATGCCAATATGAGTTGCAATATTTATCATGAATTTGCATGTTTATGGATATTGAGTGTTGATAAACGATTCTCATGCTTTTCATGAAGATAAACAGTTGAATTGAAAAAATCTTTTTTCATGGAATCGAATTAAATTGAAAGTTTTTTTTTCTCTGATCAAGAAAAGCAATTAAATAGCAACTCATCATTTCAAGGATAATTTGACTGAAGAGTGTTACAATTGGCCGTCATCAATAGTTGCTGGAAATGAGATCAAATGAAAGCCAATAAAGTGTTGGAATTGAAATGAAATATGATTGAGATAATCTAATAATAGTGTTAAGAGAAATGATATTTAGTTTTGATATTTTCCTTTCTTCTTGTTTCTTCCTCTTTTTTTTCATCATTCAGTTTACTCAGCTTTCTTTTAATCTATTTATCAAAGTGTTGATATTTCCCCTGTATTTCATGTGACCCACTCACTTGACCATGTTGAACAAAAAAGCTGTCAAACATTCAACTTGGAAAAAATGTCAACCTTCCAAGTGCTGTTAACTTGATTTTTATAAAGATAAGTAAATAAAATGTGAAAAGGCAAAAGCATTTGCTCTTTTGGTGAAACTGTTTAAGTCGAGTTGCTTACCAATATCATTGGTTTAACTTTTGGTCAAACTCCTTTTGTCAACTTGCCAGTTCGTTCAACTTTTATGTCAATGAAATATCTTCTTGGAATCATTGTTTAAATTCAATACTTTGAGTTTCACGGGAAAAGCATTATGATTGGACAAATCTTGATTCATCGACATTCGTTTCTGTATTTATGCAGTTTTCAGTTGAAACTTGATTCACTCGGAGTTGTTTGGAGAAAATTTTACTTTTCCTTTTAAAATGATTACTTTGGGTTTTCTGGAAAAATTTACATTTCTTTATTATCCAATGTGTATTGTGATGTCATCAATTTCAATGTGAGTGAAAAGTCATAAAGAAATATTTCTTTCAAGAACTTCAACTCACTCCCAAGAAAAGTTATCCAGCAAATTTACTCCCTGTTATATTGTTACATTGGAAATGGTGGATTCTCTGCTATCTGAAGATCTTGATCAAGATTATCAAAGGTAAAATGATTTGAGTCCATCAAGAAATTCAATTGAAAAGTTCTATCATGATGACTAATGAAGTCAAAATTCATCAAAAGGCTATAACACCTACATGATGATTTAACTGCGAATCATGTTATCTAATCATAGTCTATAAATATTGAAAATACTCCCAGTACTATTCATCAATTCATCCAAAAAAGGTTTAAGTTGAATGAACGTTGGCGTAATCAGTTCGAGCTAAAACACTTTGAGCTTTACTTTGGGCTAAAAAATTTAAGCTAAACACTGAAGAAACACAAGACAAAACTACTTATCCACCCACGCAATCATTTAATCAGTTATTAATATTTGATTTCCATTATAATAATTTCTTTTTTCAGTCTAAAGTTTTTAATATTTCCATTCAAGCAAAAATGTTAATACTGGTTCAACAATAATGTAGACCAAATAGTAATTTATTTATATTAACAATCGTTAGCCGAGTAGTTAAAGGTTTGGTAAGTGAAGGCATGGAAAAGGATCGAGTCCTGTGGCTATGATGTCTGGCTTCCAACTAGATGTCATGGGTTCGAGTCCCTTAGCAGTGTAACCGATTCAGGAATTAACTCGGGCTTAGTCAAGCCTTGTGTCACTGCTGAGGGAGAGACCTAGAGCTGCTCGGTCAAACTGCAATTGCAAATATGGTATGTAACTCCCAGAGCTCATGTGAGCATTCGTAATGCAAAACTCATAAATGTCGTTACCATTGTGCTTATTGAAGACCATGATCTTAGTGAGTCAAGATGGTGTTTATGTCAGATTAATTTTTAACAATACAAAAATATCAAATTCTCTGAATTCACTCCCTGTATCTCTCATTTTCATCTTTAGATCAAAGAGTACTAATTCAATCCCCGTCAGTCGATAAAATATTTAATATTAAAGTAATTTTGCTCTATTAATCAAGGTTGTTTAAGTCGATCGATGTGATCTTATCTCTAAAGTGAATAAACTTGAATTCGACCCATTCAGCTGAGAGTGAAAATTTGATAAATGTAAATAAAAGTAGAGAATAAATTGTTTCCAAAGAGTTTCGATATTGAAATAAGATGGTAATGTCATTTCTTGGTCAATATTCTTGTTGAATTTAATTGCTGGTCGATTGTTGAGAATAATATTTATACAGTTTTCCCTGTGATTTGCTAATTTCCTGGATATTCTATTCTTTTTCCTTTCTTTCACTCCCAGTCTTTCTCTTTATCTTCAATATAAAACTTTTCTCTTTCTTCTCATCATGAATATAATTTCCTTCACACACAATTCTCATCTCAACTCAATCAAACAAATACCTTATCACACGGTACATTAACGTATCAACTTGTCATGAAGCTTCCCTTCCATCCCTCACATTCCCATTATTATCATTTCATCCAGCATCTTTTTTTTCAACAACATGATGATATTTATTTACCTATACATTTTTACCCTGCTTACTTCCAATTACACATTATTGTTATTGACCAAACATCTCACCACTCAAAGTCCATCAAAATCTCTTTTCCATTTTCACCCAGATTAATGGTGAACACTTTCAACATGTATGGACACCAGGCACCCATGAAGCCAGGAAAATTATTCAGTTGATCCTTCATTGAGTAGCATAAACTGAATTTGATTAAATCGAATAAAGTTGCACCTTTTTTTCAATTGTAATTGAAATGATGAAAATTAGGTCAAAATATTCATTCCAATTGAAATCAGCACTTGAATGTATTTTCAATTGTCATGATAAATGCAAAATTGTTTGATTAAAACTTGACCAACATTTCAAGAGTTTCAAGTTTGTTGTCATTAGATTCATTTTGCTTGTCAAGCCAAAAAGAGAATTTCATTTTCCTGAAATTCTCTGATAACCTGACTAGATTGATTTAACCAGATGATTTGGTGAACTTTGAAAGGCTAAAAGAATGAGGAAAAACAGTTGAAATTGAGTTTTACTCTTTACCTAGTTGCAGATAAAATATATATATATAGACATGATGTAACTCTGAAAAGATCATGAAACTTTTATTCCAATGTTTTTTCATGTGCTTTTCACTTGAATGCCACTCACAACATTACAAAGTGTTTTTTAACTTTTAATGAAAATCAAGAGCAAGAAATGCTATCGTAATATTGAGTTATACTGAGCACACGAGTAAAGGAAAAGAGTAACAAGCAAAGTCAAGGTTCAACTATGTTGCACTGTAATAAGCTTTGAATTGTACTGAATGTAAAGTTAATAGTAAATGAACCAAAATTTAATTGAATTACACATTGATATTGATAGATATGAGGTTGGATGCAACAAATGTAGCAATAGGTTTGATCTTTGTAAAGAAGTAATAAATAAATGAAATTCAATGAATTTGCTTTCTTTCAATTTGGATCAACATTTTGTTTGTTGTCGAGTTGAATTTAAATTTGGAGACATTTTAATTGAAATGCTCAAGACTATAAACTTTGAATGATTCAATGTGACAAGAAAAGATTTGATTGACTTATGACAAGTTTAGACCTTGGATCGATAAAAAAATGAAATCAACTTTAGTCATCAAAGTAACATCGTCAGTCTATCTGTTAATCAGTTTTCATAAAGACTAAGTTCCTTGAGTCAGACTTTTTACAAAGCTTTGTAAGAGTTTATTTTTAGGTTAGGTTTGGTTAGGTTAGGCATCAAATCACCTCTGATTAGTCTAGTCATGAGTCAAGTTTACTAATGCTTCTTGGTAAACTCTTAGTGTTTCAACATTTTCTTATCTCGTTTTAGTAAATGATGATTAACTGATGATTTGTTGCAAAATAAACTTTGCATCAGATTTTCCAGTATCATGATTGCACCTTATTTAGTTGGTATCATTTACCTAGTTTTCAAAGCATTTCAACTTTAAGAACAGAACATTTCGAAAAATACAGGGCGTTTCAGCTAATTTTACCGATGTTAAACGTCTATTACTCGGCCTCTGAGTGACTTAGAGACTTGAAAAATCTATGAAAATTTTGCGAATACTTATTTGCTATATTTCAAGGTCAAGGTCCTTTATTTCTTGACTTGTATTTGATGAATTCTGGGTGACATTTATTGTTACTCAACCTGATGAAATGGTGTTAGTCTGAGATGAACTCACCAATAACTTCGAGGTAGACGAGTGTGTTGACGGTTCGTGACCATCTAAAGTCGACACGACATCGATATGCCCCATTGTCTTCTTCTCGAACCGGTGAGATGATGAGGAATGCAAATTGGACGGAAATGTTGAAGGAAACTCGGCCTTTCAAGTATTCACTGGTAAACCTGTTGGCTGAGTCAAGGTTGGTGCTAGAGTTGCGGGCATCAACCGTGTAAATGGGTGAACCTTGGGTATCACCTTTATACCAAAAGATGGTAGTCACAGCATCGTTATTGGTCGATGTTGAAACGTTACAAGGTAATTCAATTTTACCTCCAATTAAGGCTTTATACTTGGACCCAGAGATGTCTGAGGATAAAGTTGAACTTGAAAGGGAAGAAGTGATTAATGATGATGTTGATGTTGATGTTGAAGAGGTTGATGATGATGAAGATGGTAATGAAGATGGTGATGATGATGATATTGATTTGCGGATAAGGACAAGGAAAATCAAGGCAGTTAAGCTGATAAACTGATCCATTGAAACATTAAACATTTTCACCTTAAATAGAGTGTTGAACAAACTCACCAAACACACTGATCAAGACAAACAATTAACAAGGGTTAATCTTGTACAACTTGATTAACAATCTGTACAACCGTTAAACTGCAATTACATTTTTAATCAAGTAAATGGTCAACTCTTAATGTTGCACAAAATTTGTTTCATCGAATTGTTTACGTTGAAACACTTTGGTCACTTGAAGGTAACAATAATTGCAATGAAACTCGTCCTCGATCAAATGGTTGATTTGCTGTCGATTAATCGGGTTATCATTAGGAGATTCATTTTGCACAATTAACGATGCTTTCGCTTGAAACTTGGAAAACACTTGTCCAGTTAATATTTCCACTTTGACCCTTGAATTATTCTTGCAATTTGTAAACTTATTTTTAAACTGTGAAACTTGAGATTGAAATGAAGATCATTATTGGGTGTAAAAAAAGGCAACTCAAAGTTTATCTCAACACTGAGCAAGTTTTGTATTTCATTTTGTTTACTCTTGCTGCTCATACACATGAGATGAATGAGCCATGCAAGGACAAAATTTGTTTCAATTCAAGAATGAAATGAATCTGCTGCCATCTGAGGCTTCTAGTAACAATCAGCTCTGCATCAACAAAAGTCAGTTTATCTGTTGAAACAGTGGCACTTGAGGTCAAAATTTTCAAACGTGCTTAGTTGATCACTCTCAATAAGCTTTCAATTCGTAAAGATAAGGGTGAAAATTCTCAACGAAATTAGATAAATTTCATTGAAATTCATCATACTTTTCGTCAAATAGATGTCACTACCTTTTCTGCTCATAACAGGAATGAATATTATTTTCTGGTTTCATTTCAAATTTCTTGTTGCAGACCTTTTCTCGATGAATCAGCAACTCTCCAAAAATTCATGAATCAGTTCGATAGAGATTTTTAACTTCATATAAAGCTTCGATTCGCTGACTATTGAACATTTCTTTAGACTAGCAAATAAAAGTCATTGAAAATCATACCAACAGTTCGCAGTCTGATCTCAACTAAACTCGAAGAGAATCAAGATTCTTTTGGCCTGTTAATTGTGTTTGTCCTAACGACTTGTGTCAAATAGCTGCGAACGATCAACCGTTCGTTCTAGTAGGAAACAAAAGATAATTTTCGGTCGAAAATTCTGAAGAGTAAATTGACAATCAAGACTTTTACAACCTTTCAATCTAAAGCTACGACATTTTTCTTCAGAACAATACTTCATAAATCGAGCTGAAAATTATCTAGAAAAGTTGAGCTTTCATAAAGTTTTGATGAAATGAAATTTGAAGTGGAAAGGTTTTAAACTGAAATCAGGAAAAAAAACAGAATTTTATTTTGTCGATTCATTGAGACTTCATTTTTTGCGAATGGAAATTTATTATATTGAAATGAACCATTGACAAGTTGAATTTTATTGTTGCAGAAAGTAAAATGACTAAAGGATTTGCTTTGCATTTCTAACCTTGTATCGAGCGATAACCATTGACACAATTCAATTGTTAAGGAAAACTATTGAAAGTGAATTAATTGATTGATGTCCAAACAAAGTGAACCATCAATTATATCATTCCCTTAACCTTATTTTTTACATTTCAAAATGTAATCCACAAATGATTAGTTTCAGTTTCTTTTCGTGATAAATTTATTTCTATGGAAACATCAATAACTTGTATTCTTTCACCATTTCTCTTTATATCCCTAATAACTCATAACTTTGGCCAACTCTCAATTCAACTATAAAGTAAAAAATGAACAAATAAAAATATCTATTGACAGTCAACCCTTTTTCACTTGTATTATAACTTGTCTTCCGATTTGTTGAGACCAGAGAAAAGCTTTACACGAAAGAAATAAAAATTAAATTTCATTGAAACATCAACAGCTATTTTAACCTCCCAGTTAGTGCATTATTAAGCATTTTATTGGAGGATATTGAAAACAAACGATTAACAATCCAAGTATCAGAGCAAAAAAACATTACTTTTACTGTGTGAGTCAACATTTTTAAAGCAACAAAAACATCAATCAATCAAGAAAAGGAATAAAAATGAAAATTTAATTATTCCAATTCCATGACAACTATGTTTTTCCATGGTTCAACTGAGTGATAAATTTCACTGTTCGGCTTCTCGACTCTGACCATTACTCCCACGATATTCACTCCCAGTCTTCAGAATTCTCACTCCCAGCTTGGATATTCACTCCCAGTTTTCCGGTTAAAATTGTAGAATTCGGAATTCGAAATTTTTTGGAATTGTTTCTCATCAATTTATCTTGCCCCCCAACGATTTTCACTCTCAGTTTTCGGAAAATTATGGAATTTGAAATTCGAAATTTTGTGAAATTTTTTTCGATTTTTTCTCATAAATTTTAATCTTGCATACATCATAATTTTGCCTCCCAACGATTTTCACTCCCAGTCATATTTTACTCCCAGCTTGGATATTCACTCCCAGTTGTTTGGAATAGAATTTTGAAAAGTGAAATTCGATTTGAATTTGTTGGAAATTTTTTCTTTTCGTTTCGTCGAAGTGTTTCAATTGTGTGTTGTGCTTATTGTCATCATGTTCAACTCTAAACATGGGACTTGGTTCGAGTAAAGATGAATTTAAATCAATTTCCGTGACTGAAAATGGTCCTCAACTGTTGTTTGGTTCAAATAAAAATTATTCAAGTGAATTATTGGTTGAACATTCACACGAACAAGCAAGCTCAACTTATCCTGAAACTAATAGATCAACATTTTCATCTTCCATGTCATCATCCCCTGCCTTTCAACATTTATTACCAAGTCAATTGTTGTCTTCACCTGACATGGTGAATGTCAATATTTTGAGCAACATTGAATCTAATAATAATAATCGAAACAACAGAGTCAATAGTGTGAATAGAGATCATTTAAATGGAAATGGAAATGATAAAGAGATGAACGAAATTTTACACTTTTTAAACAACTCTAGTTCTGTTCATGCAACCAACAAAAATTGTTCATTTACTGATTCAGTGATCAACTCGAGAATCGACTGTAATTCTAGTTCCATTTTATTAACAACAACACCAACAACACCTTTATCAACTCCTTCATCACCTTCATTATCACCTTCATCCCTGTCTTTATCATCTATTAATGGTTTAAATAATAGCTTTGCTCATCAAGACAGACAACAAGAACATTATCGCTCAAAAGGTGAAAGGAATCCATTAAAGTTACATCATCATCAACTGATTAATAGAATCTCATTGATGGATAAAGATTTCAAAGAAAATGAAAAATGTTCCAAGTTGATTAGTAGTGTTGATGCGAATCAAGTTAATGATGTTAAGCAGAGTGAAGATGAGGTTACACTTGATATTGATGGTAAAAAGGAAACTGATCAAGTAATCTTTGAGATTGACAAGTTGCTTTCGGAATCGGACGATTTGTTGACTCCATCGCCTTACAAATGGAGACGAGGACGAAGTCTTGGTAACATTGAGTCGACTGATGAAAGGGTGAGTTAACCATTTTTAAATGATTATCAAAATAGATTTTATTTAATCATTGAAACATCATTAATTTGTTTAAAATTAATGCTTTTTTAGGCTTAAAGGTTGAGTTCAACTTGCATCCATTGAGTTGGGTTAGGTTGGGTTACTTTGTATTGTGACTTTAGGTTTAGGTTTTGTTTTCAATGGAAAAATTGGCATTTTTTTTCTATTTCAATCTTTGAACTTTTCTGGTTCGTATTGATGTTGCTTTTAAATTGATACAGTCTTTATTGACGTATAATTGAATTATTAAACTTTCATTAATTTGTTGTCAGGTTAATCATCTTGTATTGATCCTTTTTAATGTTCATTTTTATTGATTTGTCATTACGATTCACTTTTTGTTTTCCTTTTCATTTGTATCTTGTTTACCAGTTTAATAGTGGAAGTAAATCTGATTATGGTAATAGATCAATGGACTCTTTAATCAAAACTGATGACTCTGCTAGTGATTCAGTGAAGGTAATTGTTAAATGATTGATTGTTTAGGCTTTACTCATTTTTTATGGTCAATAAGCAAATGTTTTATTTTCTAGGAAATTGATAATTTCAATCCAATATTGGACGAGAGTAGCAAAAACGCTGATCAGGAAGATAAATTTGAGGTAAATTAATTGCTGACAATTTAAACGATATTTATATTCATTAATTTTTCCTCTTCTCTATTTCTAGACTATTGAAGATATGATATGTAAAGAGATGGACAGGCCGATTAAAAGTAAATTCAATACATTGTTTCATTACAATTATATTCAGAAATTTTGTTTTTTTTCGACTTTTCAGCTAAAGTGGAATCGTATGATGAAGTGGAAAAAGAATTGATCCATTCGATTGAATCGGAATACATTGATTAATCATAAGACTTTCACTTCTAACGGAACATTCAATAGATTAGTTGGTATCATGATTTTCGGGTCATTGGATGGTTGACATTGGAAAAGGAAGACTTTCCTTTTTAAATGCGTTGTCTGGACACTTCGGAATCCAATCAGTTTCTTTTTCATTATGAAAATGAAATAACTTCTTTGCTTGTTGGTGAGATTTGTTGATCAATTTGTTGTCTAATCAGAATGCCCAAACTTGGAAAATGTCAATCAATCAAGATATCGTCTTGTACATTTAGTGAATGATTCATTTTCTCAGCAAAAATACACTTGGTTGAAAGATGTAGAACATCCTTTTTTACAATGTTACTACATCCGCAACTCAGAAGTGCCAATGTCTTTTTGTTATCAATCTAAAATTACAATTAAATTGGTTTTATTTGACAATGCCATTCAAAAAGACTTCGCTTTGTTTTTTGGTAATCTGTATTGCTTTGTTGTTATCAAGTAACTCAATAAATGGCCAAATGTTGAATCAATCTCCCAAATTTAAATAATTTCGATGATGTTTATGATTAAATTAATGGCAACGAGTTGATTAATAAAGGCTGAAAATAGTGTAACAGGAAAATAAGAGCGGACACTTGGACAATATGTAAGGACGATACTGTGATATTGGTAATGACAACGGTCAATGGAAATGGTAGGCTTCAGTTTTGATTGATTGATATGAATGGATAAAGACAATTAGTAAGCTCGTTCTTAGACACACTTTCGGATATATGGTTCCAGTTGTGCCAAATAATTTGGTGTTAAACAATCAAGATGAACCAGAGAATCATAAAGTTGATTTTTGCCGATTCCTAGATATATGGAAATGGAAACAAAAGAGATAAATTAATTAGATAAGTTGGATTTGTTAAATTGATAATTTAATACATTTACCTGCGAAGTAGTGTTTAAAAAAATTAACAAGAAAAGTTCCTCTTTTCTTGTAATATTTGAAAATTGTCGTTTCTTTGCAATTATCTGGGTCAATCATGGGTACACGAAAAATACCCAACGATTCGAGTGGGAAATGGGTTGATTGAACATGTTGGGCTTCACATTGCTTAAATTCTTGTTCACTGATTTGTTTAATGAAAAAATGATAAATGTTGACACGAAGGGGTGATTTGCTAGCTTGAATAGAATCATCAATGTAAGTCGAGACATGTTGGAATCCATTGGTACCATCTGGATCGGATTCACTTGATTGAACGAAAAAATTAATCTCTTCTTCAAGCTCTCTTTGTAATCCAGCGATCATACCACTAACAGAACTTAATTCTTCCGATTTAATAACCCCACCAGGAAAGCCTAGTTGACCATCAAATCGAACCTGGCACAAACCAAACATGCCTTCCACATCGCCATCAACTGTTTTACAGTAAAGTAGACAATGAGCTGCATGAATATTACCTGACGGGTCAGTTAACTGTAAGGCTTCATCTAATGTTAAAGATCGAAGTGACATTTCATTGAGTGATGTTGTGGAACCAGAAGAAGAAGACGATGAGGATAACGTCGCAGATAATGTACGGGGAATACAAGCACGAAAACCAATCAACTTGGGAACTAAAGTAGCCAGTAACATGAGAATTTATTCTGATTTAAACGTGGCAATGTGAATAATAGTTGAATTTCATTGAGATCAGATGGTTTGGTAGCCCTTGGTTACCAAAGTGTAGCAACAACTTCCAATTGTCATGGAGAGACAAGAGGTTTATTTTTCAAGACATAGGTGGCGTAAAGTTTAAATTGAATAAAAATGTAAACACGAAATAAAGTTCACTGGCTGTGTTGTTATTAACCCATTTATCAATATGCTGATTGACCAACGATGATACAAAATACGTGTTGATGAAGAAGAAGGTTGAGGTGGAATAAATCGAACAAAGACTGATTCAAAGATTGATGTTAGTTAGTGACCATTTCGATGCGCTGTTGAACGATGGTGGAACATGCAACAAAAAACTGGAAACGAAAATTGGAACGAGTTTTTTAATTATTATTTGAATGGTATTTTGACAAAGAAACAATGTATCAAGTCTGGTGCAGTTTCGATCTTTTTCCAGAGAAATTTAAAGCTAAACTGGATATCCTTGTGCCAGCATGAAACCACCTTTCCTAGAAGTGAAAGATTTTTACTTTGTAACTGTAACTATTTTGTTATTGGTTGAAATAATCTCGCTTTCCATGGTTTATTAATGTTTTTCAGATTTAATATGGCTTCAAAATCAGTGTCCTACTTGGGTCTTCAGCTAACTTCGTGTCCAGTACGAAGTTTCAATACAGTGAGGAAGTTAACCTTACTAAACAAAGATTTTCTCGAAGTAACTTTATCATCGTCTTTACAAACTAATTTGGTGACAATAGTGAAGAAAGTAACGAAAAATGCTGAAATCGTAGATCAAGTTGAATATTCATTCATAATACGAGTAGTTCCTTGAAAAATAAACATTTATCAAGCCTAATGCAGTTTGAATATTTACGTCTCCAGAAATCGCAGAGCAAAACTGGATATCCTTGTGAGAGCATAAGAGCTCCTTCCATAGAAGTGAAGGTTTCTTTACTTTGTTGCGTAAGTATTACTTTTTAGTTGCAATAACAAAGCTTTCTATGGTTTATTTATGTTATTCATTTACATTGTTTCTTGCGTTCATTTGATAGATTTAAAATGGCTTCGAAATCAGTGTCATACTTGGGTCGTCAGCTAACTTCGTATCAAGTCCAAAATGGAAGTTTCAATACAGCAGTAAGGAAATTAACTAATATTGCTGCAACTGATCTTAAGCCTTTTAGTGATGTGCCTTCTTTATCAAAAATACCATACGTTGGCTCAATGCATCATTATGTTCCAGCTCTTGGTGGTTATGATATTGCTAAAGTACATGAATTTGCCGAGAAAAATTATTATAAATTAGGCCCGATTTATAAAGAAGACTTAAGGGCTCTAAATGCTCCGGGGGACTTCGCCTTTTGGCTTAGTGATGCTGATGATATTGAAAAGGTTTACAGATCTGGAGGTAAATTTCCGATAAGAGGAGGCTTTGATTCTCTTGCTGTTTATCGTAAAACGCGACCTGATGTCTATAAAGCTCTAGGTCTTTTAATCTTAAATGGTAAAGATTGGCATACTTTTCGTTCAAAAATTCAACCAGTCTTATTACAACCAAGAGTTATTAGTAATTATAGTAACTCGATTTCTTCAATTGCTGATGAAATGATCAATGTAATACGCCAATCAAGAGATGAAAAGACATTGGAAATAGCTGACCTTGGTCCAGAGTTATATCGATATACTTTGGAGTCAATTGCTTTTATTGCACTTGATAAAAGATTAAATTGTTTGAGTGATTATGGTACTACACAACGGAATATAGTTGCCTCTGTTAAAGAGTTGTTTCATTTAGAAGCTACTCTCAATGAATCTTTCCTATGGCGTATTATTGGTAGACCTTATGGAAAAAATTGGAAACGATTCATGCAAATTAACGATGAATTTACATCAATGGTTTTTGAATTTGTTCAAGAAAAAATAAAGCAATTAGCATCTGAACCTGTTAAAAATCCTGAAGATGATGTCAGCGTTCTTGAACTTTTCTTAAGTCGACCTGATTGTACACCTGAAGATGCTGTTACGATGACAATGGATATGTTTTATGCTGGAATCGATACGACAGCTCATTTGATTTTGTTTACTTTACATCATTTGGCTAATCACTCTGATTTCCAGGAGAGAGTCTATCAAGAAATAATGGATTTATCCAATGGAACTGGTCACCTTGATTCAGAACAATTATCAAATTTAACTTTTCTAAAGGCTTGTATCAAAGAAACCTCTAGACTTACACCAGTTGTACCGATTTTAATGCGTATTAGTCAGGAACCAATCGCGTTATCTGGTTATGCAATCCCTGCACGCAGTTTTTTGATTTTAAATCATTATACTGTTCATCATCGGCCAGACTATTTTACTGATCCTTTAAGTTTTAAACCAGATCGATGGGCTAGGAAAAGCCGAGAAGAAATTAAAGCTCATCTGTTCGCTGTGTTACCATTTGGACATGGACCACGAATGTGTATCGGTCGACGAATTGCTGAATTAGAAACTCTATCCTTATTGAGTAAAATAATTTACAATTTCAAAGTAACGGCCAAACATACTGAATTGCCTCTATCATTGAAGATAATTTCATATCCAGACAATAAGATGACATTTACTTTTAATGAAAGACAGAGATAATGATTGTCAAAGAATATAATGTGAAATATTATATTAATTTCAAGTCAAGAGTTATTAATTCATAAAATTATCCTACTAAATTTTAATGCATTCTAATACATGTAGAATGATTCTATGAAGGAATGGCACTCTTGTAATCAATTGTTTATAATGTATCTGTATGGCATGAAGATTACTATAAAAAAGATATAAAAATCATCATCAACAAAACATGTGACAAATCATTCAAAATCCATGTGATTAAGTTTCAATAAAAGAGTGGAGACATAGTGGACTCAGTTTATCCAGGAAGATGGAACAGCTGATGTAGATTGTGTTCTTACTTCAATTGAACAGGAATCAAAAAGGCTAACTCGTCTTAATCTAGAAAATTAACTTTTCCCATAGTCAATGGATTTCGAAATATTCCAACATTAATTCAAAGAATCAAAAGGAAAACATTTAAAAATGATTTTGTCGACGTAACTTCAACAACATCTTTAGAAACTGATTCTGTGACCAGCGGCGTAACAAGCAACAAGAAGTACTGAAAACGAAAATTAAGACGAGTATTTAATTATCATTATTTAATTATATAATTTATCATTAGCTCTTGAACACGAGTCCATTGTACCAAGTCTGACTTAGTTTCGATATCTTTTCCAGAGAAATTATGAAGTAAAACTTGATAACCTTGCGAGTGTAAGCTGTTTTCCTAGAAGTGAAGGATTTTTGCTTCCTTGCGTAACTATTATCTATTAGCTATTAATACAATAACCAAGCTTTTGATAGTTTATTATGTTATTAAGTTTTGTTGCTTCTCACGTTCATATGATAGATTTAAAATGGTTTTGAAATCAGTGTCATACTTGGGTCGTCAGCTATATTCGTATCCATTACGAAATGGAGGTTTCAATATAGCAGTGAGGAAACTAGCCAGTATTGCTGTTTCTGATCTCAAATCTGTTAGTGATGTGCCTTCTTCATCAAAAATACCATACATTGGCGCACTTATTCAACATATTCCAGCACTTGGTGGTTTTGATCTAGCTAAAATGCATGAATCTGCCGAGAAAAATTATTATAAATTAGGACCGATTTATAAAGAAGACTTGAGGGCTCTAAATGATCCTGTTGACTTCGCCTTTTGGCTGAGTGATGCTGATGATATTGAAAAGGTTTACAGATCCGATGGTAGATTTCCAGTTCGAGGAGGCTTTGATTCCCTCGGAATTTATCGTAAAATAAGACCTGATGTCTACAAAGCTCTTGGCCTATTGATCTTAAATGGTAAAGATTGGCATACTTTTCGTTCCAAGATTCAACCAGTCTTATTACAACCAAGAGTTATTAGTAATTATAGCAACTCGATTTCTTCAATTGCTGATGAAATGATCAATGTAATTCGCCAATCCAGAGATGAAAAAACACTGGAAATAGCCGACCTTGGTCCAGAGTTATATCGATATACTTTGGAGTCAATTGCTTTTATTGCGCTTGATAAAAGATTAAATTGTTTAAGTGATTATGGTACTACACAACGGAATATAGTTGCCTCTGTTAGCGAGTTGTTTCATTTAGAAGCTACTCTCAATGAATCTTTCCTATGGCGCTTTATTAATAGACCTTTTGGAAAGAAATGGAAACGTTTCATACAAATAAACGACGAATTTACAACAATGGTTTTTGAATTTGTTCAAGATAAAATAAAGCAATTAGCATCTGAACCTGCGAAAAATGCTGAAGATGATGTCAGTGTACTTGAACTTTTCTTAAGCCGACCTGATTGTACACCTGAAGATGCTGTTACGATGACAATGGATATGTTTTATGCTGGAATCGATACGACAGCTCATTTGATTTTATATACTTTACATCATTTGGCTAACCATTCTAATTTCCAGGAGAGAGTCTATCGAGAAATAATGGATTTATCCAATGGAAATGGTAATCTTGATTCAGATCAATTATCAAACTTGACTTTCCTAAAGGCTTGCATCAAAGAAACCTCTAGACTTACACCAGTTGTACCAATTTCAAGTCGTATTAATCGGGAGCCCATCGCTCTATCTGGGTATTCAATCCCTGCTCATAATTATTTGATTTTAAATCATTATACTGTCGGCCATCGGCCAGACTACTTCAGTGATCCTTTAAGCTTCAAACCAGATCGATGGGCTAGAGAAAGTCGAGAAGAAATTAAAGCCCATCCTTTTGCTGTGTTGCCATTTGGACATGGACCACGAATGTGTATCGGTCGACGCATTGCTGAATTAGAAACTCTATCCTTATTGAGTAAAATAATTTACAATTTCAAAGTAACGGCCAAACACACTGAGTTGCCGTTATCATTTAAGATAATTTCATATCCAGACAATAAGATGACATTTACTTTTAATGAAAGACAAAAGTGAATCTCTCTCAATGTTATACATTATCAATAATAATTATTTGGAAAATTTCAAACACTGTTTTTGTATTTCTGTAAATGTTGTCAATGAATATATTTGGAAACATTACAATTCAAGATCATTAAACATCGGTAAATCCGTTATTGTGTTGTGTTATTATTTTTAAAATTACAGTAATCTGTCTCTTAAGTTGCTTCAAACGGCAGTAGTTACTAGGCAACGTAAGGCTAGAGAAAGATACCTTCTTCTCTGTCTCTTTCTATTTCTCTTTCTCGTTCAAATATGAGGGGCACAACTTAAGAGAGAGATCACTGTACCGTAAACATTTCAATGTATTCTCTCAAGAAATGGACGGTAATTGTATTGAGGAACCTCGTAATGTTGATGAATATGTAATTATACGGAATAGAGAGTACTTTGATGGTCAATAATTTTGGTGTAAAAAAGATATAAAAATTATTATCAACAAAACATGCTCAAAATCCATGTGACTAATAAATGTAAACAACCTACGTCTTTCACTTGTCTATAATATTAGTCAGTTTATTAATCTTTCAATAGTCTGTATTTCTTGACTTACCGAAATCTCAATATATTTATAATATTCCATGGCGGATGGACCGGGTTTCAGTTCCGTTCTTCAGTTAACTGATCTCAACGATTTCATTGCTCCATCTCAGGTAAGCCTGTAACTCATTTTTGAGTCTGTTCATCTCAACTCTTCCATAACAAAACATTCCAGATGATATTTTCTGTTGTCAGCTTTTATATGAAACTTTTTTGTTTGTATATTTTTTAATTGTTTACTGCCAATTTATTGGATTTTACGAGTTTTTATAAATTTACTCGTCTTTTTCTACCAGAATTTGAAAGAATTATTTCCCGATCAATTTTTATATTGAGTTGTTTAAATTTTGTTATTGTATCACTTTGCTGGCATCTATGCTTGTTCCCAGATTGAATCATTTAAAAATACTAATCATGATTTGGTTTTTGTTGATTTTCTCTTTATTCTCATTATCAAGGCATGTGTTAAACCAATTAAGCAAGATGATCAAGTCGGCATTCACGAGAAAAAGAAGGTTGAAATTACCTTAGGTGATTGCTTAGCCTGTAGTGGATGTATTACTTCAGCTGAGACTGTTCTTATTTCTAAACAGAGTTACATTGATTTGTATGAAACTTTAGACAAGAAAAAGGTATGTATTTTCAATTTATAAATTCATTTTCTTAATTTCTATTTCTAATGAGATGTTCTTTAAAAATCAACAGAGTGGTCAAAATATAACTGTTATTGTGTCCTTATCTCATCAAGCAATCGCTTCAATTGGTGCTCGGTATGGCCAAGGATTTCAAGATTCAGCTCGTCTTTTGTCATCTTTTTTTCATTCGATTGGTGTTGATTATGTATACGATTTAACATTTGCTCGTCACATATCTTTAATTGAAAGCCAGAAAGAATTTATTGAACGAAAAAAATCTGGCACAGCTACATTAACATCTATATGTCCTGGTTTCGTTTGTTATGTCGAAAAGACACACGGAGATCTACTTATTCCTTATTTAAGTACAGTTAAATCACCTCAACAAATAATGGGATCCTTGGTTAAAAGTTTATGGCCATTTGGTACTCAAAACAAGTCAGATAATTATATTTACCATTGTACAGTAATGCCTTGTTTTGATAAAAAATTGGAAGCATCCAGGACTGAGTTTACCCAGGAAGATGGAACAGCTGATGTAGATTGTGTTCTCACTCCAATTGAATTGGAAGCTTTATTTGACAAGGAAGAGATAAATTTCACTGATTTACCTCACCGCCCATTAGATGTACTTCATCCGTCATTGAAAATATCAGATTCTGACTCTGTCGCAACTCATCCTGGTAATGGCTCAGGTGGTTGGTCCGAGAATATTATTCGTTATGGTATAAGTTACTTTAACCAATCACCATTGAATCCTAGAATACCATTGAAAATTGAAAGCAAACGAAACAAAGATTTTCTCGAAGTAACTCTATCACCGTCTTTAGAAAATGATTTTACTCCTGAATCAAAAAAGTTAACTTTTGCCATTGTCAATGGATTTCGAAATATTCAAACATTAATTCAAAGAATCAAAAGGAAAACATTTAAATATGATTTTGTCGAAGTAATGGCTTGTCCTTCTGGTTGCCTTAACGGTGGAGGAATGATTCGTGGGGATTCAGTGGATAACAAACTGTTTGAAAAGGTTTCAGAACTGTATAGCTCATTAGAAACCTATCATTTATCATTAGACGATAATCATGATACAATTAAAGACTTGTACAATGAATGGTTTTCTGACGAGGTGTTAAGAGAGAAGCTGTTCCTTACAACATTCAAAACTATTCCTAAAACAGACAATTTATTAAATGTTAAGTGGTAAATTTACGTAGTTACGATTCAAAGAATATTCATCAAACTGTTATACTCATGTATTTTGATGTAAGCCTTTTTGTAAAGCGACTTTCTTTTGTCTGTTGAACTATTTCTTAAATAAATTATGTTTTAATTTTTCTTGAGAAAACTGGTGCATTGCAAATTTATCCGATCATTAAGATCTAACCCTAATTAATAAGGCACAAATGTCCCTTGAAAATAAATAAGGAAACCGGAATTTCAACGGATAATTTTATTATGTTCATCATTTGGAATTGCAGATAGAAAATTGAGTACTTCAGAGTCTGCAAAATATCAGGCACTGATGTATAGATTAATCTCTCATTTGATTACAGTCTTTTCAGTGATTCAATGTTAAAATGGCAATAATTGATTTTAAAAACCTATTAACAACTATTTGCTTTACTATTGCGGTAACAATTAAATTATAACAATGCAATAAGATTATTGTTTCGAATCAATACTTCTTTAATGCAAATTTTAACAACAATATATCTTTATTGTTAGTTTAAAGAGTTAAAATTTGCACAAAAATAAGTTGAGTTTTTTTCCTAAAATTATAGTGAAATATTGGACATTTAGAAATCAATTTTTCGAGAAAATGATTGATTCGATTGAAAAGGAACGTTTAAAGGAATCAATTAATCCATTATGCACCAAGATGGGATTCGAGCCAATATGCTTGGAAGAAACGCTTAAATTAACAGATAAAAGGCAATATTGTCACGCAGCTCATTGTTTACTGTATTGTAAAATATCGGATCACGGTGATTCAGGTTATTTTGGTCTTGGTCAGGTTCGCTATGATGGATTCCTTGGTTTTCCTGGTGGAGTTGTAGGAGAAGATGAACCAATATCAACTGTCGATGGTCTTTTGATAGGCCTAAGAAGAGAATTATTGGAGGAAATAAATTACATTAGTCCTGATGGTAATCATGGTTTCACTCATGTTTCAAGTTACATTAAAAGAAAAGTGGAACTGAATAATGAGGTTCAACATGCAGATTGTAATATTCACCATTTTTTCCTAAAACAAATAACCGAACAACAGTTTTCCCAATGTGAGCTTAATCACACAAAATCAACCGATTTTCCACTTGAATCACTTGGCATTTTCAGGATACCCTTGATTGATCCTGCTTCCATTGGTCATCAATCATTGTTCCGTTTCTATGCAGATAAAGGTACTTTTCTGGTTAACTTCTTTAAACACAATTTTGCTGGTAAGTTAAATCAATCCTTGGCACTAAATGTAGATTAACCATCAGCTGTTTCTTTTTGATAAATCTGTTGAATAGGAACTGCCAAAGGACAACTCTTTGACTCTCTGGTTCACCTTGATTGTATAAGCCATGATTATTTAACTAAATTGAGGAAATATCTGGAATGAAAATACAATGGATTAATTCAAATTATTCAACATTTAATTAATTCTTACCTGTTCATCCCTTTCATTGGTAATTTTTATAATGTTAACTCAACAGTCTGATATCAACAAGTCACATGTTTAACTGAGCATGTTGGATAGAGTCATTAGTTCCTCTGTTTTTACCAGAAAACCTAATTTACAATTTTGACAATTAAATAACACCAACAAAATGTATTAATATAAAGTTATTAAGCGTTGTTATTAAAGCCATTGAAATGTTTCAACGTTATAAAATGCAGCTCTTAAGGCACAACATTCACCCAAACTTATCAACCTAAAGCTAATCTTCATTCGGTTTTTAACATTCACCCACTCACTCATTAACTGTATTCATTACCTAATGAGGTTAAATGAAAACTGATAAAACAAATGAATTGGAACTACTTTATGAATAAAAAAGGTTGAAATTACTGTGAATATGAATACAAGATCATTGGATATAGAGGTTTACACAGGAAAAGCTGGCTATTGGGAAATTAACTTCAATTGTTAAACTAGCAGATCTAAATAAACTTTTTCATCAAATTTTACACCTTAAATCATCATAGTCTCATCTTCTCGAACCCTGTGCAATGTCTTCAAGCATTTCTATCGTTTATTCATCAAACCGTTTCTATTTGATGTTGTATCTTGAAATTCAAACGAGATTCCAGTTGAATAAATAGCAAATTGTCATTTTTCATTTTATTTTTTAAAAACTTTCAAATTTTCCTTGTTAAACATTACCTCCAGTGTTTACTTTGTGCAGCTGCCTGGATCTCAACCACCTTACTGTTGAGATCTCACGATAAGCTTATTTCATTTCATTGAATAGCTAATCATCCAATACTACGATAATTGATCTAAATCCCAATTATGGTAAAAAATACACATTTCATTGAAAACTGGTTTATGGGTAAGAACTCATTATGAGCTTTTCATCTCTTGTTTTTAAAGCATGCCAAATGATTTAGTCACAGAAACTTATTCCATGAAAAAGTCTACTTTAAAGATTCATATTTTTTGTTTGATATTTTAAAAATGAAAATCAAAGCTTCCATTGAGGTCAATAATTTTCTTTAGTGTCGTTTAGAGCAGTAGATTGATCCGATATTTGACTGACTCGTTTTCATAGTTTTGATCAATATTCTGACCAAATTATTCACAACACTTTTTTCAGTCAACTTGCTACTTTCCTTTAGTTTCTCTGATGGTCTTTCTTTTCATGTTTTCCTTGTCGTTCTGTTCATTGTTTTCAAGAATTCATTTGCAAATATTGCTAGGTAACATGGAAAGAAATGTGATTAGATGTAAGATTGGATTGAAGAGATACAAGTAGTACAGATTAATACCTGGAATAAACTAACTATAGCTCTCATTGGCGTGCTCTTGCCACTACTCTTTGATTTACTTTCCAATCTTCTGCTTTTTCTTTCCCCTTCCAATTTAAGTTAATTTCAAAGTCATTATAAATTGTAAACCCTTTTTAACAACAATTATTTCTTAACTAACGAGTTCCATTCTCCTTCTAGTCATCAACCCAAAGAGTAACAGAGTAAAGGACTTATTAATCTTGGTGTGTTCTTGTGCTCATCCCTTTTAATGTAACCAAGTGATCTCAACGTTATAGCATGACAAGGACTTCATACCATCATCTTTACCTCTAGACGGATAAATTGTGACCTACTGTGAACGTCTTGGGTGAAAACAAATAAACTGAATGAGCTGGTGAAGCTTTAGCCAATAATGTATATCTTTTCCTGTCGTCGTCGTTGTGTTTTAATTTACATTGCCACCTTTTTGTTTGTTGTTACCTTGATTGCCCATAAGATATATGTAAACACACGAGTCTGGACAGATGAACATTGGCACCAGTTGAGACCTGTTGAGGGTCTTATCAACTATAGACATAATTATATAATGCCAGGTGTGACAGGCTGCACTGGATCAACCAGACTTTTCATCATGGTCTTCAGTCGTCCCGAATCAATCTCAACTCGCGCTTTAATCAGGACAACTTGGCTCAACCCTGATTTCATTGGTAGTGAAGCAAATTCCGTTTCATATAGATTTTTACTTGGAGGCATACATGATGAAACAATTCTGGCTGCAGTGAAAAATGAAAGTAGCCAATTTGGTGACATTATTATTGATACAAGTTTCCCTGACTCCTATCAGCTGCTTGTACGCAAAACAATATCCATGGTTGATTGGGTGGACACTTATTGTTCCAGTGTTATGGCAGTATTGAAATCTGACGATGACACTTGGTTTAATGTTGAATATTTGTTGAAGATTCTTCCTTACCTTGAACCAGGTATCCATGGACATGTTTTCAGGTTTGCTGGTGTATCTAGGAACCCAAAAGATGCTTGGTTCATACCATCAGATCTTTATCCCTTTGGCCACTATCCTGACTTTACAAGTGGCTCTGGTTACCTGATTGTTGGTCGTGGCACAAATATATACTCAAGATTACTTGCAACCCTGTCAACCATTAGAACAGTTTGGATGGAAGACATTTTCCTTACTGGTCTGGTTGCTGAAAAGGCCAAGGTACCGCGTTTCCACCATGACGGATTCAATTCAATCAAATACCCAACTGATGATATCTGCCAATATCGTAAAATAATATCTTCACACCAGCTTGATGAAGATAGTTTATATTATATTTATTTGTCGTTGACTGACTCCAATTTAAAATGTGCCACAGATTAATCTAACCAGTCTACCAACTCATCCGAGCCAAAGATCAACTTTCCGTTTAAAAATTTTTGAAATCAACTCTGGTTTCTGTAATATTTCAATCAATTTACTTTATTGCCTTGCAGTGCCATTGAATATTTTATAAATCAAATTGTTAATATTGCCCATTTTACTGGCGCTTTACATTAACACCATTGTCTTTCATATCTCTAATTGTTATCCTTCTGTAAATCAAGATATTTTCTTGTTCACAAAATTACAATGATCGCATGTAAATACAACGATGTCCCTGTTGAAAGTAATTGATTGTTTTTTTATCATATGTTTTCAGCTATTTTCAATTGTAGATTATTGAGTTGCCATAATTCAGTGGTTTCAACTTAAATTTAAAAATATGTTCCATTATTTCAAAGATTTGCCTTTTACATAAAAACAGCCATTTAACAATAGCTTGTAAAATTTTTGCTTTCAAACACTCAATTATCTTGTTCATTCATGTAGTAGAAGCTAATTGTTGGACTTTGTACTTGACTTAACGCTACAATAAGATGAAACAATTGATGTTTACTGGGTGCATGCAAAAATCAAATATAATCAAACGCTTTCATAAAGGCTTGTTCCAAAATCGTACAATAATGGTTACAATCAGCTGAAAAATATAAGCAACCTTTTTTTAACCAATTTTATTGAAAATCAATGGACTTGTCTTGGGTTTATCTTTATGCATAAAAGCAGTGACAAAAGATATGCAAACTTCATGGAAAATTAAAAGCCCTGGTTATAACCTGGTTAAATACCTTTATCTAAAGTAATTAAGCCAACTGGAGGATAGATTAAATTGTGATAAGTGTTGTTATTTCAATACATGACAAAACATCGACATCACTTTATTAGAGAGAGAGAATCAAAACAAACCAAAATTGGTTTATAACCAGGGAAAGTGTTTTTGCCTCTGAACTTTCGCTCTGTAGTTCGTCTAGATTGTTTAATGATGGTTATCGCAATATTTAATAGATCGTTTGATTTATTTCTTTACATTGGCAACATTTGCATGTTTATACAAGCACAGATTTGGTTAAAGCTCATTTTCCCGGTTCACCTGCTTCACTGGTGTGAGATGGATTTACAACAGATTCTTTGGATGTTCTCTTTGAACTTGTTTCACCAATGTTATAGTTTTTATATCGTCCAGTGGTCCGTTTAATACTTCTTTTATGCCTTCTACTGCTACCTGTATTTAAAGGTTCAGTTTCAGCTTGCGATTTTTCCATTGCTTCATCTGTATCTTGGCTTTCAGCTTCACCTTTCTCATAATCAGTTGTCAGCAGAGGTTCCTTAAACCCTGGCAATTTGTGGATCAGTTTGCTGGCTGTATGATCTTTTAACCTACCGTAATGATAACTGATAATACTTATACCAATGACCAAGCAAATGTAAACAGAAATGGCTAAGGAAACTATCAATAGATCCATTGGTTTGGTCAGTTAAAGAGCAAGCATAACAGTGTTACAACACTTGACTTGTAAGGGGATACTTAAGTTTCAATGATTATCAGCTTTATCAAATCCTTTTGGTTAAACAGTTCAATCGTTGATGAAAACAAAAAATCTTAAAATTTTGCGTTGGAAGCAGTAAAAAGTGATGAAAATTGTCTAAAAAAGTTGAAGGAATTATAACAAAAAAAAATTAAAAGCAATCATTTTTTTCAAGCTTTAACATTTGAAACCGCTTGTCCAGCAAATCGATGTTAAATTTAGCGCATTTTTTAATGTTGTTGGGTAACTAACAAATCTAAAAATATAAGGGTTTAGCCCAAAGAGTAAAGATTAATCCATTATGTTTGGCTAATGCTTTTGCTGGGTAAGGTTCAAACTGGACGATTGATTCTCCCATTTCATTCAAATGAACATTTTGTTTTTGCTTTTCAATGAGTTGGAAGATTTGGTTACATGATTATCTTCATTGGTCTTGAAATGGGAAAATAACAAACTGGACTCCAAATGAAACAAATGTTGATATACTGGTTAATTTACTAAAGATAAGGAATCAACTGAAGTAAATTTGATCTCGAATCTGAATTTGGCCATCAATATTATACAATTGTCTTTTCAATGGTCACCCAAAGCCATTGTAAAGTTATTAGAATGGTCATTGACTTGGAATGTTTGAGGTTTACTGCTTTATCTATCTCTCATCATCATTATTATTTTCCTCTTCTGGTTCATGCTTCTTCTTTTCCCTTTCTTATTCAAGCAAACAGAAATGGTTGAAAATAATGACATTGATGGTGATAATAATAATGGTAATGGTAATGATGAGAGACAGAATGAGGAAGAAAATCCTGGGAATGGCGAAGGATTATCCATGTGTAAAGAACGAAAACATTTCCTTGCTTCTCTTCTGAATGTTGTCATTTTTCATCCCAGAATTATATTGGATTCTCAATTCAATTGTATTCAGCTGAAAGTCAGGTTTGAGTTCATTGAAAATGCCGATAAAATAAAATTCCTGGCTTTATTTGAGCCAATCATTGGAGCTAAATTAAGGCATACGGTTAAGATTGATTTGTATTTAGTTTATTCTTGATGTATTAACAGTTGGGTACAAAATGATGCAAAGTGAAAAAAGTGTCATCTTTAAATGTGACAAAAAAAGGTCTATGGATTAATTGAATGATTTGCTCAATGAGAGGTAGCAATAACAATGGATGTAACAATGTAGATACCAAAAGGTAACAAGGTAACACGTTTAATTGTTAGGTGTGGACAGTGATTTTAATTTAACTGTTACCACAGATGACGTTGAAAATTGGTTAATGATGAAAATTGAGGTTTATCAATAGTTGATGCTTATTATGGACTTGATTCAGTTTTCATGATAAATTACCAATCCCGGCTTGACTCTTATTTGTTTCACCTTAATTAATGATAGTTGTAGCAAAAATTGTTGCAAGTTGGTGTAAAAGATGAAAAAAGAAAACGAAAAATGAGAAAACCAAAATTGTGTAAAAAAATTAAAATAGCAAATTTTCAGGCCTCTGGTTTAAACAATTATGTATCTCGTCCTCAAATTTAATTGATCAACAGCAAGATGATGATTTAATTGACTGGTAGAGATAATTGTTTGTGTGTTTTGGGTTATGGATCACAGTGAAAGTATTGGTGGACTTGCTTTGCGTGTTACTTTAATCATTGTGGTGTGGGTTGACTTTTTGCTCTTACAAAAGGATCTTGAATTTAACAGGGGAACACACTTTTTGAACTTGTTTTCTCTATTGATTCCAGATTCAGGGGAATGAGCTGAACATTGGGTTGAATTGATTAGATCGATGTTGGAATAATAAACACTGTTATTATTTTTACCACCGAAAACGGCACCAAACACTTTGGAAACAGTAACAATGCTTAGCTTTTTATAGTTATTTGAGCTTGCAGAAGAAGGCGAACGGGAAGATCGACGTAATCGTTGGGAAACCAATTCTCGAATTAAGGCATCGAAAGAAACTGATACACCAACATAGGAATCAGCAGCAGAAACCTAAAAAATAAGAAAGAAGAAAATAAAACAAAAAAATAAGTAAAAATGAAATAATTTAATATACAAAAGATATTGATAAAAAAACTATTTTCCGGTTTTAAACTCCTTAGGCTAATTTTGGGAATATTTTCTAGATCGAAATTTCATTTGTTTTTATTTCAAGTGCACCTGAAAATATTCATAATATTGCATGAAATTTCAAGGTAAACAAAACAGTTTGACAAAGGAAGTTATTATCACTTTATTAATTGAAATAACTTTTCTTTTCTTTCTTTTTCAAACTTCCTTTTAACCCAAATTCAGCATAATTTTGCTATTACAAATGAAATTTTTCATTGAACCAGATAATTTCAAGAGCAAATTAAAGAGTAAATAATGTTATAATTAGTATAACTTTTATTAATATTAATGCAAAGTTTCGGAGAGAAATTCTGTATTCATTATGTTTTATTATTTTTCATAAGCTCAAGAGGATTTATCTAGGCTCAGAAGAATCTAACCATAAAACACAATTCTTTTGTTTATTTAATTAATTGTTATTTAATGATACTTTACTCATTGAGATTACTTGAAATTATTTTAAATAAAATGTTTAATTACCTCAAAAAATTGGGATTCATAACTCATGGCTTGGTTTCGACCTTCAGATAAGGACACTTCCCTTCCTTGTTCTAGATCCCGTTTATTTCCAAGTAAAAGCATTGGAAGATGGACTAGGCTTCGTAATGAGGAGATAAGTTCCATGTACTGTTGAGCTTCATGAAAGGTATTTTTGTCGCAAATATCATATACTATGACAAATCCATTGGCCCAAAGTATATGCTCACGCAATTCAGCGCTTGAAATCTAAATGAACAAGATGTAAAATTAAAATATTAGAATTGGTAAAAAAGATAATGCAATAAAAATTGTAATCATGTAATATGCTCATAAAGTTTGCTAATTATTCATTCACTTTACATAAGATGTTCAAACTACAATTAAATTATCTATCCAATTAAACTAAAAGGATAAAAAGGAAGTAACAAGTTAAATTAATCATATTAATCATGATAATAACAATAAAAAAACGGACAATAATAAACATAAAAGGGTGAAAGTAATGAAGGTCAGGTTAACGTTAATAAAAAAACAAGGTTTGTTAAAGTGAAGAAGCATTGACAAAACTATTGAGCATTTCAACGAATCAAATTACATGATACATTTGATACTGAACATACATGAAAATTGTACTGTTTGATTTACTTACCCCTTTGTTAGATGAGATATCCAATATTTCCAGGCTAACAGATAATTCATCACAATTGTACTCCTTTTTATACAAAATATCTAATTTCAGTAGAGAAGGGAAGAAACAAATCGGAAAATGTTAGATAAAACTGTGAGTCCAGAATAAATAATGACCAATTATTTGTTTATTGGTAAAATTAAGAATCAAAAAAATCAAAAACTACAATTGCTTTGTAACATTAATCACATGTTCAATAGCAATCCCGCTTAAGGATTTCAAATTAAAATTTGCAATTGTTTCTTCTTAAGTCGCCATCTTACGCAAGAAAGGGCCAATTAAATTTTTCTGTCAAAGTTCGCGCTAAAAATTGTCTTAATGACAAATCTTGTGAGACGCAATTGAAACTTTATTAAGCGAGTTGCGGGTTTATCTATTGATTGTAATTATAATTGTGTTTATTCGTATCATTAATGTCTGTTAAATGATCTAGAGCTAGAGCCTGGTAAATGCTGTGTTTGGTTTTGGTGCATTTTACTCGTGCTTTGGTCGTTGTTTCCACTCATCTTCTGGTAAGTATTCATTTTTTTAAAGGGTGTTGCTCTAAAACCCGTCAACAGCTAAAAGGTAAATGAGAAGATCTAAGATGAAACTGGTTTCGGTGGTTCGATAATAAAATGTGATAAAGCACTTATCAACCTTTGTGATTAGCTTTTCGCTGGTATTGTCCATCCATGGATTAAGGGGAGTTATCACTTTAGTCACAAAGGTTAATTAGTGGTTGATCAAATTTTTCTTATCGAACCATCGAAACCAGTTTCGTCTTGGATCTTCTCATTTACCTTTTAGCTGTTGACGGGTTTTAGAGCAACACCCTTTATTTCTTGTCTCTATCTTATGAACAGGGAAATGCTTGATCATAACCTTCTTATTATTGCTCACAAATATTCAATATGAATTGCTGTTGAAGTCGGAAGCAATAAATTACTCCTACTTAACACTATTAAACGAGAATCTATTATTCACTGTTAAATACCTCAGAGTTGGTTTCTTTTGCTTTCTGTTGGCTTTGCTTTCTTTTATAGCTTTCTTTCCTAATCTCAGAATTGGATGATTGATGATTCAGTTTTCATTCATATTCAATAAAAATCATAATAATAATTTATCAATTTATTTCCATTTTGTTTGCTTTCAATATAGTTTTGCATTTCCATCTTATTTTACCATCAACTTGAACCATTACAGCACATTCAAGTTCATTCATTTATACCTGAATGTTATTGAAAATATACACTTCTCTGTTCAACAACAGCAACCCTTTTAGCTTGATAACATCATTACATCGACATTAACTATCGTTTAACTGTGAATCATCTTATGGGTTAATGTACGTTTATCTGTGAAACTATTTTTTCAATAACTTAACCAGCTTATTTGACCTTAATCAACTCGATGTTGAACCTGAAAATAATCTTAGCTGCATCACTGAATTTAAGCAATGATCAAAGAAATCCTAGTAAAAAAGTAAAACCCGAAAATTTCAATGTTAAACTCAAAATCAATTCTAATTATATGTTGTTTCCTTATCTTCTTTTCAATTCTCCTTAATATTATTCATCTGTTTAATATCTTATTCTGATTTAACACAATCCCAGTGAGTATTCTTGGGTGCAAAAATTTTGTATAAAAGGTCGATCTTCATGTAAATTTGAGATACATGAAAAGATTTTAGCTAAACAATAGAATTAAATTCCAACATCGCATTTGCCATTTTTACATTTCCATCCGAGTGAACAATTTAATGTGAGCAACAAAATTACGTTTCTCTAAGATTTAAATCTGATTCTTGTAATTCTATCTCCTATTCTCGATCAATCATGATATTTTGTTCATTATTTTCATTATTAGAAAGTATTAAAGTTTATTCATTTTTTTCTTTCTTTTTCATTCCTCCTAATAGATCCTGCAATGACCTGAAATAACCTTACCATAGCGGAATCATTATTTGGTATTAAAGTTAACCTCAAAAAGGGGAATTTACAGCATTTTTATACAAATAAAAGTGTTTTTTTTCACCCAAAGCCAAGGAACTCAATTCAAAGGGAAAATCTCAAATGGATAAAGCAAGCAGATTAACGATAAAAGATAATATCGATAACATGGGGAAAATTATCACAGTAATGCTAATCTCCAAATAAGATTAATGTATTCAACCTGATGATTGATAAGCTTGTTGAACTTACCAATATTTGACTGATATTCCCCAATATAACGACGAGTTAAAACACGTACTACGACAGCTGATGAATTTGCAAGTTGTGATGAAGTTGGATGACCGTGATTACCATAATGACCATGATTTTGATGGCAATGCAAGAGAAAAAGAGAAAATAAAAAAATAAGTCAAGATTGGATTCAAGAGTATCGACATTGGAATGACAAGTTTGACGATGACCGTTTGACGATAACGATGACGACTCTGATGAAGATGACAACTTGGTGACAAGTTTGGTTAGAGAAAAAAAAGTTCATCTAGTCTTTTACATCATGGAACGGATATGATTGGAAATATTTAGAAGCAAAAAAAGAGTCAGAAAGAAAAGGGCAGAGAATTTTCTTTCCCTTCTGATCAAATATTTTAACCTCTTGGTAAGATTAATTCATTGACATGAGAGGTTCAAGAATCAAGAATTATTTCCCTCATCTTCTCAATCAAACATCAACATTATCTTAAATAATTTTTTATACTTCTCTGCAATTGCCTGCAATTCAAGGCGAAAATGCAAAAAAAGTTCACTGATTTAACTTTTTTTTCTCAGTCGTTATTGGATAACCACAAAAAAAGTACACTCTGTCTAACAAGTATTGCCAATCTGTAGTCAGGATTAATTTAAAAAAGACTGAAAGAGAAGCTGAGGTGAGGGAAAAAATGTCTATTTTTGACAGAATTTTTTTCCACTCTTCTTATTCAGTCATCGTTTTATTCAAGAACCGCATAACAAAATATTGTCGATAACAAATTGAATATTAACATTTTTTCTTTCTTTGATAGGTTAGCGTTTGGATTGCATAAAAAGTAATGGTCCTGATGTAGCACTGAGTTGGCAGAAAGTCAGTTACGCAAACATTTAATTTACACTTTACTCTTTTTTGTCCATTTCATCGCCATAATCTTGATCGGATTAATAGATCAAAATGCTTTTAAACAACACTTCTTCATAATGTATTTATACATCATCTTAGGAATGAACTGAGTAAAAAGAAGAAGAAAAAAAAGTAATGTAACTTGTAATGTTTTTTTTCTTCATCTTTTCATTCATTTCTTTTAAACTTTCTTTTTTTTCAATGTTAGATTTCAAATGCACCAATATATCATTTAGCATTGACTTTGTTAATTTATTATACGATTTTGAGGGAGAGCATCTTAATTTCGTTAATCGTTAATCTTAATTCTTTGTTGCCAAGAGTCGGTAGAGTCTATGTGATAACTACGATAAGCTTGTGAAAATTGAGAGGAAGGTAAAGTTACAGATAATAAGAGGTAAAAAATAGCGTTAATAACAAGATAACTCGTTATAACATCTTAACAACAAGATTTTTGATATGTAACCTTTATTTTCCCTCAATCATACTCTTTTGCTTTTGATTGATTTCTTACGTCTATTTGTTTTTACTTGATTGTTAATTCGGATCAACTTTTTTTTGCATCTTATTTTCACAGGTCTGGTTCAACGGATTCTCATCGATTTTTACAATTCATTTGAACTTCATTTAATCTCCATGGACTTGGTTAAAGATTATTATAATACAAATTCCTCCAAACAAGAATCAAACAAAGCAGAGGCAAAAGCTAAATTTGGTGAATTAACATTCTGAAATTGCAATCATCTCAAGCCAATGTTCGGATCAATAATGGATTTTGTGTTAAAGTCGAAAGTCATGGCTTCTTATTGCTCAATCAAAAGTTGGAAATAGAAATTTGAGAATTCCAATGAATTCTGAATGAGATTTTTCTAAGACTTTGGTTATTGGAAAATATTTCCAGTTTAAATGTAAATTCATAAACATCTCCTAAGAATGAAGTTCAATCATCAAGTCACTATCATTATCGTGGTCAAATTGGTTTGCAATATGAGAAAATTTAAAGGACATGGAAAAAAATTGCGGAATCAATTGAATCTTACCTGATTTACCAACGCCTTTTGCTCCAAGGACAAGAATTTTTAATTTGGTAATTTGAGTCATCCTGGATGATTGGTGTGATTGAACGGCAGAAACAGTTATTAGCAATCAATTATCACAAAATTGAAAAATTGTTGAAAAGTTGTTGGCGAAGCAATTGAAAAAAGTAAGAACAAGGTGAATATTGAACAAAAAGTTTATTTCGTGATCAATGGTGTTAGGTGAAGTTGGGATTTACAGTAGTTTTTGAACAACAGTAAAAAGCAGAAGGGATTTTTATTATTTTAATATGTTTTCCTTCATACAGATGTTTTCCTTTGAAGTGAATCAATGTTTATGAGACTTTTATTTAACCAATACAAAGTATTAAAGCATTCATCTTATGAGTGTTCGCTTGATTCAACATTTTTTTTCACCAGCTCTTGTTATTATTTCTGTTCTTGCCTATTTCAAGGGTATTCATCATCATCATGTAACGATACAGTTACGAGTCGTCTCACAACATTCAATACCATGATCACAAATCTACAGAATTCAAATTGTTTTCTCACTTTTTTGCATCACCAATCATCATCTCCATCATCATTCTCATCCTTTTCATCCTTGCTTCTTTTTCTGTGTCTTTAAAGATTATTCTATAGGCTTCTCCATCCATGGATATGTTGGTCAAGAACCTATGAGAGAAAAAGTGTTAAAAATTCCTGTGAAAGGAAGGAAAAAAAGAAAAGAAAGACTCAAAGTTCAATGGCTTTCGTGAGTATTCTGTTTTTTTTTCTCAGTGAGACAATCACGAGACTCTTTTTCCCTTCATCTTCTTCTCATCTTCTCTTTTTCTCTTCTTCTTCTTACAGGCAATTCAGGGAGTGAGAATTCAGGGAATGAATACTATAACTCTTGCTGTTAGCTGTTTTCCTTTCGCTTTTCATCATCTTTCTTTTGGTATTTGGTTACATTTGTGAGATTAAAAGGGTTAACAATGATAAGGAAATGAAGGAACAAAAAAGAGGCAACAAAAGTAAACTAGGAATGGAGTAATAGGAATCATTTAATTAACCATCAACAGTTAATGAGGAAGAGATGATGGTCAGTTCCGTATTGAGCTAGGAAGTCACCAATTATGGCAACAATCACAAATACAATTAATTTCAAGTAAACACCAAACAAGGAAGCAAAGAGAATCGACAATTGTACCTTAGGCTAAATCAAAATTCTTATTACTTTTATTAGTTTACCTTAGATTTAAGCTTGTTTACATAAAAAGAAAATTCTTGTTGCTCTATCATTTAGTTTATTACAACCCTTTCAATACTCAGATTATTGAGCGATTAATCAATGAAATGGGTGGAAAATTCATTATAAATTTAAGGTCAAGTTGAACTCTATTTTATTCATACTTAACTAAGTAGCAATTTTAATTATTTTATTGTATCCTCGATGTAGATGAAAAATATTTACACATGTTTAGTTTATAATTTTGTTTCAAAAACAAAAGGTTAATGAACTGTTCATTAACAATTGTTTGTTCATTTCATGGTTTTTTATTTTTAGAAATTTAAACTTTCTTCTTTTTATTTTCACAGGTAACCTTTTTCTCTGGCTAATCCAATCATTTGTCCATCCATTCATGGAAATGGTTGAAAGGATTGAAAGTTGAATATTGGATAAAGGATAAATTGTTACTAATATTAGGTTTAGAGGTTTAGGTTTTGCCAGTTGAAGTTGATTAAAGATGATTGTAGGTGAATATTTGATTAAGGAAAGGATGGAAAGCAATAAGACAAAGAAATTAGATGATAAAGATGAATTAGCTTATGCAAAAGCTAAAATCAAATGAATATAAGAGAAAAGGTCATTCAGGGTTATCATATTGTTTATCATAAGATGATGAACTTTTCTCATTTCCTTATTTTCCTTCTGTCAAGGTATATTAAACTATTTGTTTGTGTTTATTAAGTTCACATGGAAATACATAAAATCCAGAAGATGCCATTTAATACCAAATGGCTCTGGTAATGATGAAGATGAAAAAGAAAGAAATTTGAGGTTGGAAAAAATATGATTCTTGAACTTTAACAGATTAATAATTTTATTTTTTTCTTTTATTTTTTACAGTTGATATTTAATTGGCTGCAATCCTGGTTCGAAGGGTTCATCATCACATATCGCTTTCCAAAGGCCATTGATGTTTATTTTGCTTCAACAATAACAATGAAAAGGTGATGATTTGAAAAGCTTGATGATAAATTCATGATGATATTAGCTAGGATTAAACTAGGATTAAGGTTTGACTTAACCGATTGAAACTGTTCAAAAACCTTTTCTAACCTTTCCGTTTTTTTTGCTTCCCTTTTGTTTTATTAATAGTTTTTTTCCCTTCAACTACAAACTGCTTATTGATGGAAATTAATCAAATCAAAAAGCAATTAGAGATCGATTGACGCACTTTTTAAATTTCTTGTTCATTTGGTGAATCGAATTGCTAACTTGGCGGAAGATCAATGTTTTTATGCAGATTTTTTGGTTCTGCTGGATTAATGGAAAGATTGGATTAGCATTTGGATTTTTGTTCATCAACCTTCGCCTTGAATTAATCTCAAGTTTAATGTAAAACCTAATGAATCATGGAAATAACAAATTATCATATTTTTATTACAATGGATGGTCAAATCTGGAAGAGCATATATTAATAAAGCAACTGACTGGATGCTTCACTTTTCCTGTTGACCAAAGATAACAACCGTAATGATGGAAATGATGGAAATGAAAAAAACAAAAATGGTTACAAAGGTTGGTTGACTTGTTAATTGAATCAGTTTCTTGGTACACTAAACCTGATTAGATTTTGTTACTTTTTTTTGGTTCATTGATGTATACATTTCAATCTCGTGGCTTTACTTTGGATGGATCAAGTGAAAACCAAATGGATCAATATACTTATTATTAAGCACAAAACTAGATTCTACAAACACTGATTATATTGGGAAAATGATTAGCGATTATTCGATAGACAGCAAATGATCAATTGATTCAATTCCATGGACAAGACGATCAATATTTGGTGGCTCTTCAATTGTAATCATATTTCATGGTTACATATTGCTGTGTAATTTACCAAAAAATTTAATTGTTTTGTGGAAACAAAAATTGCGAATCAATAACCCAAAACAAACGCCTTCTAAGGTGAGATTAACATTTTTCTCTTCCATGTTAATTAATTGAAACAAGGAAATGGTTTAAAAAAGATTGAAATTAATTAATTTACAAGTAATATCATTGAAATTGATTAAGCTTTTATCTAACCCTTTGTTCAATATTACATTATCCATTGTCTAATGAATATCTTTTTTTTGTGATTCATTTGTTTTGTGTCAATTAGAGTATCAATGGAGGAAACAATAAGGAGATTAAGGAATCAGGAAACATTACATGATAATGAACAAGCATGGTGGCTGGTGGAACAAAGTGTGAATTAAGATGTTCAATTCTTTTGTTTTCATGCTTGTTGCTGAACTCACTTAATTGTGCCTGTTGAATGGCAGTAAATTGACCAGAAGAATCTTTAAAGAAAACCTTCATTTGATCCAATTCCTTGGAGCTTTAATCATTTGCTGTTGATTACCGAAGCTAAATCCTTTCTTTTTACTGTAATTTAATGATTATCGTTAAAGCAGATGATGATGAAGATGATGAACAAGTGGAAATACTGTGCAGAAGAAAAAAGATCAAAAATAGTGTTGACAGATCTCTTTGGACAGTTTTTTTCATCAACAATGTTAATGAGTGTGAAGATGATGATGATAATAGGGATGACTGGAGATTTGCGAGTTTTATTAACATAATAATGGTGAAAATTTGTGAGAGAGAAGGAAGATGAAGATGAAATGGGAATCGATTTACTGATGTACTAATGAATGGAAACAGTTGGATGAAACTCGGTCGATGGCAATAACCTTAACAGAAAAACAAAACAATCTTGATCTCTGGCAATGGCCTTTCAATGAGGAATCAACGTAAATAACAACAGTTAGTGAAAGTAAACATGGGAAACATTTTTCTTTACATTTTCCCTTTTATTTACCTCTCTTTCAACTGCATTTATTGTCTTCATTTAAAGATTTACCTGAATCATCAAAAGATCAATAACAAAACAAACAAGGAAATAACTATAAGTGATCTCTGGGAATATATTTTTATTAATTGCAGAAGTAATCAAATCTCAGATTACCTGTTTCCTAGTATTGTACTGTTTCCTTAGCAGAATATCCAGATTAAACAAGAGTTTAATTTCAGTTTCAGCGGTGTATTAGAGTGTTGACATGTTTTAATGTATCAATATAATTTACGTTTGAATATTGAAATCAAATTATTTCACCTGAACAGTATCAAATACTTTCAAATGTGTCAAGAGTTTGAATGGTTAACATTTGCTAACAGTTGTTAGCAAATAACGGCTTGAATAATTGTCTGATATTTATGAAGCTAAATAAACTGCTGGATAAAATAAAAAAAATTGTTACAGCGATTGATATTAATAATTTTTTGACTATTTAGCTTTTGGAATTTATTCAATAAATGAAACAGCAAATCATTGAAAATATGATTGACATTAGTTCCATATTATTCAGTAACTCAAGTTTAAGATTTAATTTCAAATACACAGTTTTTAAGTTACTCATCCAGAACATTGATTATCTTTTCAATAACAATCTAAAGTGAAATAAACGAATTTAAACAATTTACTAATCTTTTTTAGCATTAATCTCTTTCATTTTTGCTTCAAGTTCATCAACTATCTCAGAATAATCGTATTTCTTCTCAATTCCAAGTAGCTTCTCAGCATTTCCATAATCAGACTCGAATAATTTTATGTACTCCTGTTTTCTTTGTTCACGTCGTGCGAAATAATATGGATACATTGCTTTTTCAAGGGGATGCCAGTAATCTAACAGTACATCATTTCGTGAAGGCTCTTGTTGGTAACCAGTTCCACCAACACTGAATGTATCTATTAGAGAAAACAGAAAGAAAAAGCATCATTAGATTAAAAATCAGAATATTCCGGTGGCAATGAGGATTGAAATTAATGAATTTAAATTTCTAAATATCAATAAATCTTCTAAAAAAAGAAGGAAAATTAAAATCTTACAATTGAAATCTTCAATTTCACGAGCCAGTCTCAATTCTTCTTGTCCTTTCTCCAACATTTGTTTGGCGACTCTATAATCTTTTACGTCTTTGGCTGCTTCAAACCGTTGCCGTAACTCGAGAGCTTTTTCTTTAGCTTCAAAGCTGCAAATTAAATCAATTAATTAACATTTTTAGCAAAATATTGAAAACAGAGTATCAAAAAGTCTACTTACAAGTCATCACAACTGAACCTGATTACATGTAAAGCTTGTTTGTAAAGAGAAAGAACCTTTTGTTTGTGGGTTAATGCAATCCTTCTCAGATGAGCAGCCTTATTAACATTATATGTAACTATACCCATGATGAAATTAAAATTGAACTGGACAAACAAATTAAACTAAATTAAATCACTGTAAGGTCAAAATGTAAACAATAAATTTCTCTTAGTTAAATAGGCAACCACCAGGTGTCGCTCTTTACTAAAACGGTGCAACATTTGAAAGTAAATTTTGATCAAATTTAATAAAATGATTAAATTATTACAATTACAAATATTATAATATTACAATTAAAATGCTTCGGTAAAAAATCAGTCAACAGTTCAACAGTCAATTCCTTGATATCTACCTTAAGATGATAATACCTTTACATGATAATATTGTCCATCATAATCGTAGAGATGAGATCAATAAATCAATTGGTGGAGCTTGATTAACCCTGATGAGAAACTAAAGGAGCGCTTTATAATTGTTGATTATTTACTAATACGAATGATTATTGAAATAATTTTTGGCAATAAATATGCTCAATAATAACCTAATTAATTCTTATAACTATCAACCAGGCCATGAATTTGTATGCTTCTGATGAATTTAAAGGAAAAACTAAAAACTGTTCAATTGTTATTAACTCTTGTTATTCATTTATCTTTTCAATACAACATTTATAACAATGTCTCATAGGAAGTGATAATATTTAGTGACTATTTTTAATTTGTGATCTGAGGGTGAAGCCAATTATCGAAGTGAAAAAAATTAAGATTTAGATGAAAAAGATTAGTTTAAAAGGCATTGTAATAGCAATTGCCTGACACTGTCGAGTTGAAAAGATGACAATTGACTCCCAGCTTGCGCCCTTTTATCACAACTGCTAACCCTTTTTTTGCCCCGTGTAATGAAATTATTGTTGATAAAAAACTATACAAAGGATGTTAGATGGATTGACAATGGATAAAACAGTTTACCCTTTTGAGTCTCAAGAAAAGGGCGATTATAATGATGTATTGCAACTCACTTGAGCTAATTGATGATATCTATCAGACTTATTTGAATGGAAAATGGTTGAATGATTTAGATATGTTTTGAATAGGAAAGTCAAAAAATTAATAACAAAGATTTTCTTGAATATTTCAATGTTTTAACTTTTAGACATTTTTGTTTAAAATGGTAAAATTGATTTTCAAATGATTTTATTAACTTTGAAAATGATTGAAATTATTACTTTCAATATTCATGAAAATATCAATTTTCAATCTTAAAATTGCTCTTTAAAATGATGATGTTTTGTATGCTTTTAGTGTTCAAGCAAAGATGAAAGGATGAAAATGAATCAATGTTTTCATTGAATACAAAATGTCATTACAAAATTGAACAAAAGTGTCAACATAAGATTTGCATTTTTTGTGGACATTAAAGTGAACATTTTGAGATCATTTTCAATACAATTTTACCCCAAAAACTGATCTATTATTACTGTAATCACCATCATCATCATCACTTTAACTTTAACATTTCTGGTTCAAAAGTGAGGCAAAGAATAGTTGATATATTCAATAATATTGACAAGAGATTTTTGTATTGTTAGTTTAAATTTCTGGTTTAGACTCTTTTTAGAAGGTTAAACGATTTTGATTTGTACGAAAAATATTTTTGATTAAACCGCGCTTAGTCACAATCTCAGCTGACAGATTGAGGCATATGGGATAAGTAAACAAATGTATTGATAATTTCATCTAAACTTTCTTAAATGTTTTGTCCATTATGGATCTAGTTAAACCTAATTGTATTGTTGTCAACGGAAGATGTTTCCGTGCCTTTTATTCTGGAGGGGAAGCCATTCATTCCGGGAGCGCCAATAGTTATGAAATTGATGAAGAATATGTTGATGATTGCTCTGAAGAAGTGCCTGTTAATGATGATCTTGAATGTATAGATATTGAAAAGGATGATCACGGAAATTTTATCCATTCAATGACAGTAGCCCCTGAATTTTACGGAATGATTATTGGATATAAAGGTAAGAATTTTCACCTCAATTGAAATCCTAATTATTTTCAAATGAGATAATTATTTCAATTTTGATAAGCTTATAGCGATATACTTCTGATATGGTAAGCGTAATTGTCTGATTTTCTTGTCAATTTTTTTCTCTGTCATCTGTCTTTACTTTGTTTAGGCCAGAATTTGAACAAATTAGAGCATTCCACAAAGTGTCGGGTTATTATTCCAAAGAAAGATGACTCCTCATCCAAGGGTAAAACCGTAATTTTACGATCATCAGCCAAGCGCAATGTTTTAGATGCAAGACGGAAAATCATGGCAATAGTTGAAAGATCACGATCTCGTTTGGAGCCGAACTATTTTATCTCGATACCCATTGAGGATGAAAAATTAACTGAACGATACATCGAATTTAAGAATCAAGTTTTAGCTGAAGTTAAAAAAGAACCACATCGATATCAAGGAATTTGTAATGAGATTTTTCAGGATCCCGGTCGTCTTCATTTAACTATTTGTATGCTTCTCGTGTTAGATGATGATGAGAAGAAGCAAATTATCCAGAAATTAGAAAAGATTCATAAAGAAAAGATCATGGATATTATCAACAAGAAAAAGATTATAATCAAAATATGTGGATTGGAGTATATGAATGACGATATAAACGCTGTTGATGTACTTTACGGTAAAATTGAGCACAATGAAGAGCTTCAGCAAATATGTGATCTTCTCGTTGATCAATTCAAGAATACTTTATTCATTGCAAGAGAAAGAGCGAAAGTAGTTCTTCATTTAACTTTGCTCAATAGCAAATTCAAATTGGATAAAGCCGAACGAGAAGGATGGTTAAAAGACAGGAAGAAAGATAAACGGGAAAAATACTCGGTGCAAGAACTGATGAATAAATTTGGCGATTACTATTTTGGTGAAGTTCAAGTTAAATCAATTGAGTTAGCCATAAGACATACTCGCACAGACAAAGGAGGATACAAATCAGCATTTACAATCGATCTGACTAAAAGTTTATAATTACCAGCTAATATCGTCTTACTTTGTCCATTGTTGTATTTATCACTTTACAGTAATCTAATATTATTATTAAAATTTACTCTGGTAAATATACTTTTTTATTTAGTGATGCAAATATTTACAGATCTGGTGATTTTCAAGACAATTTACAATCCTTTACTCTTTTGTTTGGTGAATGGTTATTGATGATGTGAAACGATAAGGTTAATAATTATGAGACAATTAACATTCAAATGAAATTTAAAAGGAACAAACTCAATTTACAATTTTTACTTCACCCACAAAAAAATTACAAAAAATACAAAATTGATTCAACGTTCAACTTGGAACAGTTTTAAAGCTAAACTTAAAAAGTAATCTTCTGACGGGAATCAAAGAAAAAATCAGAAAATTGAGAAGATAAGCATTCTATTTACAATGAAAATAATTAAAATACATCGCGGCTGAAGAAAAGCTGATATCATTGATAAATTGTAGGAGGGTAAAGAGTCTTGACTCTTGCAAGCTTTCATTTTGACTCCAACCTGAAGCATTTTAATTTTCCATTAATTTATATTACCAAGTTAGTCTTTGAAAATTGCGTGTTGACAGTCCATTAACATAAGATAACTGATGTCTTGTCCTTATTGTTTGCCTTTTTGGGTCCCTTGTTAACCAGCCTTTGTACAAAAACAAATGTGATGATTTGGGTTTCGTTTTAACATTTTGTTGCCAATTGAAAGCTCTATGAGTCCAGTAAAATAGTAAATTCAACACTTTAATTACGGGTAAAGTTATCCAAATGCCAATAACGGATGTTAAATGGATAATGAAGCTTTTAAAAGATTCAACTGGATAATATTCAATCAACTTTTCAGTTCCATAAGGATAAATGATGGAAATCTTAAAAGACTCGTTTCCAGCAAAAGGTGAATTGATTTGTGTCGCCAAATCGGGAATATAAAATAATTGATTGCAAGGCTGATGAGGATATTTCTGGTAACAATAAGTTGAAAACAGTGAGGATTCAGGATAATCAGAGAAGCGGGCATTGAAATGGTTTGGCTGTAATTTAATGTAACGAAGATAATTCCACTGCTTTTTAATTGCAAGTTGCGTATCACCAACACATTTATGGATGCACATTTTACGCTCTCTACAATCCAATTGACTGTAATCAATACAACCAGTTTCATATGGATAAGGTTTCGATATAATTTGTACCCTTCTAAAGGTAACCGATGCCAGGTTATTTCCAGTTGTTTCCAGTTGAATGAAACTTGGGTCACCCATTGCATTTTGAAGACCCGAAATGGGATTATTGAGAAACAGGCCAATTTTGGATGTTGTCAGGATCGATTTATTGATTTCTATTTTAATCAATTCACTGGCCCAGTCATGGTACATGTTGTATTTTATCTGGTTCAATGGTGAAGCGAAAAGGCGAAAACATTTTGAATACAAGTTCAAGTATTCACTCATATTTGTGTCAAGACGTGTACAAGACATATATGTCAATAATTCTGGTACAGCAACCTTACAAGAAGTCACAAATTGATCCCAAGTCGGTAGCAAATCATTGATCTGTTTCACTGTTAATCGAGTGATTTTATGATTGTCTGCCGTTTCTTGTAATATTGGTCCGTGTTGATGTTCAATATCATAAAAGAAACACACGCCAATGGACGGTAGACCAGTTTCTTTGTAGATTGATATGTCCACTTTGGTAAACACTCTGAATGCAAAGTAATGGCGGATAACTAGTATTGAAGAGACGATTAGTCCAAAATAAGTGAGAAACTGTGATGTACGAAATATTGTGCGTCTTGGACGGTCATTTGGGTATTTTGGTCGTTCTTCATTTCCAGACAAATTGTAAACAAGATTTGGGTTAAAGGTGGAAATTTTCATGATGTTGATTTGCCTGCAATGGACATACAAATGATTACCGATTTTAAAGTAAAAGACAAATGATGTTTACAATTTACCAATTGTTGAGAAATTGTTCAGTTTATTAGAAAAGTAAAGTGATTGATTTGTAGTACATTTTGAATCGATTTTTCTGTTTTTCAATTTACCTAGATATTTATTTTCCCAGCACCCATTGAGAGTTCATCTATCAGGAATTGGGTGATTGGAATGGATTAAATCTGGAAGGTGACTATATTGCTTGATTGATCAAAAGAAAATAAAATTAACTTCAATAATTAACCTGCTTTTAGCCGTCTTCATCTTCATAGAATCACAAGTGTTTGAATGGTTTAAGGTTTAGGCCTGGCCAAGCGCTTTGCTACATCTGTTATCCAGTTTAATTGTTGGCTATGGATGGTTAATAGATTAAATCAATCAGGCTACACCTTCAAAGCATTCAGTGTAAACACATTTGGCAAATTTCATCCTAGTAGTCGGATCAGGACTCAAGAATAGCTTTCGAGCTTGATTAAACACTTTTGGTACGTCAAGTTGAGCTAGAGTCAGTTCCATTGAAAGTAAACTAATGAAAATAAAGATGACCATAGCTGATGGTAGATTGATGTGATTTAACATGTTAAAAGTAGTGATGAATGAGTTACACAATTCAAATTGTTATGGTGTTCAATTGCTGTAACTCCAATAAATTGAGTAAAACTAACATGGACATTGACTGGCTTTTATAATTTTGTATGCCATTACGTAAAGAACTGGAATAATCAATATTAGCTTAAATGGAGTAATTAACAGATTTTATTTCGTTGGCAGTTAATAACTAACCGATTTAATTATATTAAGTAAACAAAAAAGTTTCAATCTTGATGCGATTGCAGTGATTTAGTATTTGCAATTTTCCTTGATTATCAATATTAAGGAAAAAATATTGTAAAATATCGATTGTTTGTATTAGAAAGATTGAAATGAAATTTCGCTGTTTAATCAACCTTTCATTCATTAAATGTGCTTTCTTCATAGCAATTGGAAATTAGTGATTTCCGTTTTTTTTAATGATGAAGTAATTAAGTGATTAGCTGCTAAAATATTTGATTTTGAACATCAAAGCAAACAGATTGGGTTAGATTTTCAATTCACTTACAATTTGTGACTCTTGCTGGACTTATGAGTATTGATTTTCCCTTAGTTTTTTTTTCAAATTGATTTCGCATTCATCAAGAAAAATAATTTAGGTTCGTTTAAGTTGCAAATTTTATTTGTTTTAATGTTAAATTGAATTAAATTGTGGGTAATTTTTTACTATTAATAATTAACTCAATAATAAATACAAAATATAATATTGTAATGTAGTTACGAGGTTAACGTTAATAGATGGCATTGTTTTATTAGGATAAACTTGTTGAGTCAACCAGGCTGCTTTCCAACGGTTAATTTGATTGTTTAGTATTTTTGTTTGCTGTATTTTTCACCGTGAATTTTTTTTATCTGAATTGTTTTCAGATTGGAAATAATTGTTGAATCGATGGCGAGAAGGTGACACCTCGTAGATACTGATGCTCGAAGGACTGGGATTTCCTCCAACCGAGATGCCACCATGATTACTGCTATTTATGTTTAGAAGGGATCGACTTGATAAAGTGATGGAATCAACTGATAATGTTCCAAACAGGTTTGTCTTTGATCCAGATTTAGGAGTAAGAGTTGTCTTTTTAATACTGTCATCAGGATAAATCCTTTTATCATTATTTAAATAACGGCAGATAAAGGTTATCATTGCTTTCGTGGAAAGCTGGACCAATCTAATGAGGGATATTTCTGTCCACAAACTGAGAACCGAAGCTGAAAAACAAATGTAATCAAGGAATGAACGTGAAGGTACGTATTGTATTCTTGTTTCAGTTCCAAGAGGATAATCAATCGAGACTCGATAATCACCGCGATTGATGAAAGGTGACTCAAATTCAGAGCCCATAATGGCTTGGTATAGATACTCATTACATGGAGCCTGTAAAAATTGTGCATTACAGAAGCCTGTATGATTATCTAAATGGTTTCGTATACCAAACCGTCCATCTTTCACTTCGTCACTTATCTTGGTGAACCGGCGATTGATAAATCCTTTGCTCTCATTGTAAGACATCTCTAAAGTACATTTTTTAATACAAGTTCTTCTTTCCTTACAGGGTAATTTGGAATAGTCATAACATCTCGACTCGTATGGCTCTGGTAGGGAATGAATAATGGTCTTATGATATGAAATTGTGGCTCGATTATTGTGCTTGGTGTCAAAATAAACGAATGATGGAGTCCCAAGAACGTCGTCAAGTTCAGATATTGGATGAGTTAAATAGACACCGACTTTGGTTATAACTGGATGGGATACATTTAAAGTAAAATCAACCATCCTGTTGGAACCAATCAGCTCTTTCGAGTAACTTATCGGTACGGTTGTATTAGTGAACAGGGTGAAACACTTTGAATACAGCGAGATGAATTCTGCCTTTTCCTGAGATATGTCTTCACATGGTCTAAAAACGTATTCACTATCCATAACATAACAATTTTTAACAAACTCACTCCATGAAAGCAAACGTGAATCAATTTCACCTAAAGTTAGTGAGGTTTGACTGATGTTGTTACCAAGGGGTATAAGTTTCAATCCTGAAATCTTGTAAAAAAAGCATATTGATATGGCTGGTAGGTCAGTTTGCTGTGGGCTCTTTATTTGAACAGAAGTTGACGTTTTGAATTCAAAGTAAATTTGTGTTAACACAGCGGTTTGGACCAAAGCACCAGTATAACAGACAAGAACGGCAAAGGCTCGATGAGATATTGCACGGCTAAGGAAATGACGCCAAGGTGAAGCTGAAAAGGGTTTAACTGGTTTCCAAGCTGAAGACGATGATCTAGCTCCAGGATAATATGGATAGGTGAATCGCTGGGAAACACGAGATCTAGTCTCACGATAACTATGATTTGGCAAACTGGACATTACACTATTAACCATAATCTTTTACCTTCAAGAGTCAGACGTAAATTGAACATGAAAGCAAGAAATCGAGTAAAACTCTGAACCAGTCAATGAAAAATATAAAGAACAATCAAACTAAGAATAAATGGATGGACAGTCATTTTGAAGAGCATTTCAAATATGGTCAACTATTCAATTGAAAATGAAAGAAACAGTGAAATAAAAGTAATATTACTGAATCTTCCACTTGTAATTACATTATAAATGTCAATCGATAATTCATTGAATTTATTTCTCAATACTATTTATAAATGGGATTTACATGGGAATACTCTAATTCAATGTCAGTAGCTTTGCCGAAGTCACCGTTGCTAACCGGTCAAGTTCAACAAGTCTAACAATTGTAAGATAATTACACTTTTCATTATTTCAATTGTATTCTTTTCCCTTTCAATGTTTCTTTTTTTCTCATTAAAATTGTCATCATTTTCATGAAAATGGAAAAGGTCAAGAAATAAGATTGAAAATCGATTTTTTCTTACCCACATTTTTCTCATGGACATCAAATTAACCAGTTTGATTAGATTGAAAAATTAATAAAATCTAGGCCAATAATCACCTGGTGAATAACTATCACAACCAATCCCATAAACCAGTTGAAATTGAACATTTTAATAACACTATTAGCTACAGCAGTTAAACCCTTAAAATTGTTAATCAACTCTTGATATTCATTTATCCTTAGATGGCTCATAAAATGCACAACAATGTCTCATAGGAAGTGATGATATTTAGCAACTGTTTAGACGGTTAGGCCTTAAGGGTGAAACCAATTATCGAAGCGAGAAAAAAATGAAATTAAATGAAAAAAAAAAGATTAGCTGAAAGCATTGTATTAATGATAGCAATTGACTGACATTGTATTGTATTGTTGAGTTAATAAAGAGTTGAAAAGGCGACAATTGACTCTCAGTTTGCGCCCTTTTAACACAACTGATAACCCTTTAGTGATAAAAAAACTGTAAGATGAAATAACAATGAATAAAACAGATTACCCTTTTGAGCCTCAAGAAAAGGATGCTTATAATGATCCATTGAAAACTCTTATCTCGGCTAATCGTTCAACTCCTTTTATTCACTTGAACTAATTAGTGATATTTATCAGAAGCATTTAGGAAATGTGATTGAATAAATCATTTAGAGTTTAGGTTAATTTGAAATGTAAAAATTAATTGCAATCAAAGATTATTTCAAGTTTTACATTTTATCCAATGTCTAAATGGTAAACATTGGTTTGTAAATGATTTTGTAAACATTGAAAATGATTGGAATTAATGATTCTTTTTCAATATTAAAAAAAAACTTGAATATATTCATGAAAATATCAATTTTCAATCTTAAAATTGCTCTTTAAAATGATGATGTTTTGTATGCTTTTAGTGTTAAGTAAAGATGAAAGGATGAAAATGAATCAATGTTTTCATTGAATACAAAATGTCATTACAAAATTGAACAAAAGTGTCAACATAAGATTTGCATTTTTTGTGGACATTAAAGTGAACATTTTGAGATCATTTTCAATACAATTTTACCCCAAAAACTGATCTATTATTACTGTAATCACCATCATCATCATCACTTTAACTTTAACATTTCTGGTTCAAAAAGTAAAGGATAGTTAATATATTCAATAATATTGACAAGAGATATAATTTATGTATTATAACCAGTTAACATCCCTTTGAATCATTGATAATTTCAAGTTGAATGGATGCATAAGTCCAATAATTGTGAATGGCTGTGATCAGGTTAAATGATAAGCTTGATAATGATGAGTCGATTAACATTCAATTGACAATTTAAAGAGGAGCAAAGTCAATTTACAATTTTCACTTCACAAAAAGGTTACAAAAAGTACGACATTCATTTTAACGCTCAACTTGGATAACTTGAAACTGTTAACTCCACACTGAGAGTAATCTTATAAAAGTGACTTAGACAATTCGACTTGAGCAAAGCAAGCCAAAAAGTAGTCCAAGAGTCGTCTTCAGACGGTCACCGACACAAAATACCCGAACTCTACAAATCTGTAAGACTTAATTTTCATAAGATGAAAATAAAATTCATTTCTATTGATGAAAATGCGTTTCATTGGCATGTCCTTCTAGTGGCGACTTTAAGTTTTGTAAGTTTTTTCAGACTTTTTTCATTTTATAAAGGATGAAATTCCCAGTCGCTTTAACAATCATTAGATTCGCATTGGGCTGAACTAATCAACTAACTTGTTGACACTAAAATTAGATAAAAAATTTTACAATTATTACTGAAAGTTTCAATCTTAGAGTTAAAAATTATTTCAGTTTATTAAAAATTGGAAAGATAATTTTGATTTGGTTATTTGAGTTTCGAGTCAATAAAATAATTTTGAGTTTGATTCTGATTTCTGACTGATTTTACTTAGTTGATGAAATATTAAGATTCTGAGTCTTTTAAGATGAAAATTGAGGGAAATGTCAATCTCAATGAATTTTACAGAAAAAATGGAAATTTGATGAGAAATGAGGAAAAACATTTTCCATTTCATCCAATTGACATTTTTATAGACGATTAGCTTCAAAGGAAAGCTCAATTGATTCTTAAATTTACCGGCAATTTCATGGTTTCATTTAATGTAAAATTTATTGTTAACAGTTTCCATTAATGATTATCACCACTAACCAATGGTCAATCCCTGATGAAATAACTCATCGATGGTCAAAATCAATTTATCCAATAAATTAGTCTCATTGAGTATGCAACCTTTACATACAAAAAAAAGTGCAGCTCAATTGACCAGATCAACATTCAACATTAAAGGACTGTAAAGTGTACCAATTGTAAGGCCAACAAGGAACCAAAGTGAAGTTCCTTACCTAAACATTTTTTATCCAAATGTTGATCACTTTCATAGTGAAACACTTTCCCTTTTGTTGTCCCTCATCATTAACACCCTCAACACCAACAAAGAAGCAAAAGATGATCACATTAATAGTCGCTATTGTTGATGATCCATATGCAAAAAAAGATCTTATATAATAGCAATTGATGTTGGATGAGGAAAAAAAAGTCAAACTTGAAATAAGAAAGGTTCAGAAAGGAAGCTCGAAAAAAAAGGTTAAATGACTTCAAAAGTGGTGACAACAAAAGTCAACAATAGTCTATCAATAGCGGATTGATTGAAAAGATGAACAGCAAAATGTTTGTTTATTTGCCTTTGTTGAACCTAATAGTGTAACTTAATGTAACATGATGAGAGAAGCTACAAAAAAATGATAACTTGGAAAATTGTTGATAAATAATGCGAAATGGTGAAAAAAAGATGAAAAAATGTGAATAAGGATAAATTTTTATCTTGAAATTGGTCTGGCAGAGAAAGGAGTTTAAAAGTTAAGTCTTTTTATTTCAACATTATCATTATTATTATGTGGTTGGACTGGGAGTGAAAGTACAATGGCAATTTATGAATATTGATTTGTTAAGTTGAAGATGATAATGTAAAGGGAAGAGATGAGTTGGGATGAGGATGATCAAAGGGTCTTGTTGAATCACACACACTCAATCAACCTCCAACAAGTCATTATTATTCACATGTTTTTAGGTGAATCTCGGTAAAGTTTTGGCCAATTAGAGTTTGAAATGATTTCTTTCGACTTTTTTATGGCTCATTTTGGCTTCTCAGACTTTTCAAGTTTCAATATTTTTACTTGTTGAGATTTTAGTTTCTTGTTTTTGGACTTTTGACAGACTTTTCATTGTGAGAAATGATGGTTCAACAGCAACGTAAATCGTTCATGATTCGTGATATCCTGTCAAATGATGTGGAAAGTGATTGTTCATCGCAAAGTTGCACTTGTGATTATAGTTCGTGTTTTCAGGTTTCAAGTGGTCACAGTTTGTATCATTCATCATCATCCAATCCAGTCTCGGCTTTTCATTGCAATACTTTGGGGGTTAACCAGGCAAGTGGAAAGGTTAAATGTTTAACTGGTAAAACGGGTCAAAGTGGGTTGAAAGGTTCAACCAAATGTGCAAAACTCTTTTCACATCAATCGAGTCAAATTATTTGGCCGTCTTTTCCTGTTCAGTCAACATCGAGTTGCATCTCGTGTGTTAAACCTTCATTACGAGCTGATTGGACAATTGGTAAGTTTATCGACATTTTTACAGGCTTTAAGTATGCAACTTCATCTCTAATAGTCGACTCTCATTGTAGTGTTCAAGTGAAAGTGATAAACTTGAAAATAGAGTTAGAGTTTAGTCAGAAATGCAGTTGACTAAATAGCTCAGTTTAATCAATCGAACAGTCCAAAGTTCTATGAAACTTTCAAAACTTTTTTCCTCATTTCACAAGAAAAGTGTTCCAAGTTATTCAAACAAAAATTAATCTTTTCATCATAAAACAATTAGGTTTTATAAGAGTTTAATTCCCTCGAAATCTTTCGATTCGCAAATTAAAGTTAAACTAGAAAAACAGAATATTTTTTTGCATGTTAGTATGGCAATGAGCACACAAAACAAAAGGTTCATCGTAATGTCATTTATGTATAACAATAGACAGTGAATGACGCTTTTCGAACCTTCTCATCATTCGGAAATTGAAATACGGTTACTCTATTGTAAGACGAACGAGACTCTAATCATTGAAAACAATTTGAGTGACTGGGACACTTTCCTTGTTAATCGATGGCGAAATTAGAGAAAACTTTTTGAATGATTTTGATTTGAGTTTGTTTCTTGTAATATTTATTGATTTATCGAAAGAATTTATTTGAAGAAAATCAAGTTGAACTATTGAAAAGTATTTTCGAGTTTTGGTCCAGAAATTGGGAAATTTTTGTGAACACTTTCAAAATGTTGTTTGGATTTTTTGGAAAATACTTTAAATATTAAAGTAATAATATGTTTGGTGACTTTTTAAGGGAAATTCACATTTTTTTACTTATGTTTTTTTGTTTTTGTAGGTTCATCTGATTCTTTTAGGGATTTTGAAATTTTAGATGAAGACAACAATGAAGATGAACAGGAGAATGATGACGATGAAGATGAGTGTGATGAGGATGCGAATGAAACAGATTCGGATCAACCTTTAGATATACGATGTCAATCGAGTGAAACAACGGATCCGTTGAGTTGCAATAGAGTGAATCATGGTGATTCAAGTGGCGACAGTAATAACAAAGATAATGATAATAATGTAAGCAATAACATTTCATCGAGTCGCAAGATTAGACGAAATCGAACCGTATTTACTGAGTTACAGTTAATGGGTCTGGAAAGGCGATTTGATAGTCAAAAATATCTGTCAACTCCAGATAGAGCTGAACTGGCTCGGATTCTTGGTTTAACTCAACTTCAGGTGAAAACATGGTACCAAGTAAGTTGACCTTAAATAAACTATTTCACTTGATCAACAAAGCAAGCTAACAAGTTAATTTGCATTTTTCAGAATCGTCGAATGAAATGGAAAAAACAGGTAAAAATTCATTTTTTCAATTCTCAATTTGCATCTTTTATCAGTTTATATTGAAGCAACTCTTACATTTTACTAATTGTTACTGAAAAGACACAATTATCACATTTATTCACAAATTGACAAGTAATTGACACAAATTTATAAATATTATAGCTCATGCTGAAATCTAATGATTGATTGAAAGAATGATGATATTAGGTGATACCTTTCTCGAAATATCGACGCTCATAGTTTTTAGTCCAATAGCCAAAATCAAGAGAACTATTGTTGAAAAAAGTATTCCATTCATGACTTGTACCAACAATATTTGTTCTTGCATAATAGGTTTAAGCATTCTAACTATTACGGTCACAAAATGCGATCGAAGTTTCAACTTTGGCCTCGATTTTCTCGAAAACTGTCCATTGGATGAATTGTTTGATAGCATCAATGGACTCAGTTTTCGATTTCCCTACAAACCCCTCTAAGTCTCACATTGTCAGCTCTTAACTTAATTGTTCGAGGCTTTGGCAGTACTTTTTACATTTCATTTGCAAACTTAACCAGAAAATAGTTATTTACCAAGAAATGGGTTAAGATGAGTTTAGTTTGTTGAATAAGTTGTTCGTGAAGTGTGTCTTTTTAGTAAGAATCTTTCTAAGCCTTCAAATTTTCTTGAAGTTTAAAGTTTAAATAAGCAAAAATATTGAATGATTGTTCATTTAAGGAGTTATTTCTGATCGATTTACTCTGAAAATCTGAATTGCTAGAGACTAATGTAGCATTGTGAATTAAATAAACTTGAATAAAATGCCTTTTCGTATTATCAATTGATTGAAGCTAGAAGTCACTCCATTTGTACTGAATTGCCGAAAAGTTTTAAAAACGCTTTTCTTCAGCAAAATTAATTCAGAGACAGAGTTGTTATTTTTCTTCTATGAACAACGAATGATTGGAAAAGTAAATAGTCCATTTTGTCGAGCAATTGAATTAAACAAAACTGTTGCTTTTACAGGTAATGCAAGGAGGATGCCCAATACCACCAACTAAACCCAAAGGAAGGCCTAAGAAAAATTCAATCCCATCACTTGGAATCAACTTTGAAGCAACCCTTTTATGTTCAACAAATCATGGAACCAGTTTATTCAGAAATTGTTTTCGTTGATCTTTCACGGCAATCATTGAAATACTCAGTTCACAATCACTAAAAATGCAATACAAAAATTGTGCCCAAAAAAGATGTCAAATCATTAACTCTAATCTTATGGATCGTCGTTTCTAACCAGCAATCCATTTTTCCAGTCAACAATCAAAGTTGTTTAACCAATTCCTGTTACCTTTGGTCAACATTTGATCATTAATTTTTACCAGAAAAAAGCAAAATTGAACACAAACTTCAATATTTAAAAACCATAATTGGGTTGTTTATTGATACAATGTAAGGTGCAATTTGATGAACCGATTCTCGATATTTGTAAAGGTTAATTGTTCACCTCGAACATTAAAGATGTAAAGTCAACATTAAATAACAATTCAACTCTATACACTTGATTATACTCTTAAATGTTCAAAAACCTTTGAACAGCGCAAATTGATCCTCATCATTAGCATATTATTTGGATGCTCTATAAGGTTGGCTGAATGCGCCTGTCTTGTTAGGTTATAGGATTTTATGTATTTTATTATTAACAATGAAAATAGGATAAACGATTATTTAAGATGATAATGATAATGTTAATAGCAATAGTGATTGTTAATGATAATTTCATGAACTAGCATTTCATTGTAATTCATTTGCTTTTTGTGAGGCTTTGCTTTTCACTTGAAAACCATTTCTTTCACTCCATTCACTTTACCGATTTGATTGACTTGATTGGAATCAAGTCTATTATTTTACTAATTTTTTTCTTCTTTGCTCAATGACTAGACAATTAATGTTCAAGATATTTATTATTGTTAATGGTGATGATGAAGGGTGAAATAATTAGATGATAAAGGCTTTCATTTGGTATGAACAGTTACTTTTATTCATTTGCTTTTCCATAAACTTTAAATATCTACTTTTTTGCTCCTTGTCGTCTTCTGAATTCAATAAAATAAAATATTATAGTTGATTTAATAACTTGACTAAATATTTATCAAAGGTTAACATCATTAGTAAAGTATATTAGTATATTATGGTTATTATTAATGGTAATGAGTGTTTTTTGGCAAACTGAATTGTTTAATTGACTTCAGTTTGATTTGTTGCTTTCTCGGTTTTTACAAATTTTTGTTGATCTTTTTTTTATGAGAACATCAATTTTGTGGTTTTGGCAGCAAATTTTTTATTAAGGTAACCCAAACGAGTAAAATCGTGTGTCCAATTTGATTTGATGGGATCTGTTCAATTGACTCCAGATTTGGTATAATCTAAATTACTTAAACTTTATTTCCAGATTGTGCCGCTTTCGTGCCATTTTCACCATTCAATTGAAATGCTAACTTAATTTAACATTCGGAATTAGGAATTAGGAATTTGATATGATAAGAGATTTAGCGAAGTTTCAGAGCTACGTGGAAAATACATGTAAATTTTCTTGTAATGATGGATTAAAATGTCAATCGATGACAATTTAGTTGGGCTTTTGGTGGTGAACAGGCATGGCGTTTAAAAGATGAGGACACTTGTTTTTAAAAGAAGTTCCATGAGTCATGAGAGTTTAATTCTGAGCATATGAGAAAACGAATATTCAGCTGCAGATTAAATTAACTTAATCGCTGGTTATTGATAATCATTTAACTGGTTAACATGGTGTGAGCTGGAATAACTTCAACGTTGAATGATCACTTTGTTTAAATCAGGTTAGGATAAGGCTTGGCTTGTGAGAAAAAATTTCGTTGAATGATGTCACTTGATATGTGGTTGAGTAACAATATTAAAAATGGCATCCTTTTGGTTGAGAAAAACTTTTACAGCAACAAAAGATACATTCAAAGGTGGGGTTCAAAGCTATGATCATATGGTTACATTTAAACGTGAAAATTTTTGTGCTGACAATGAGGCGCCATCTATTGTTGTAGAAAGTAACTTGATACTTTTAAATTGAATTTTTCCTGGCAGAAGTAAAACTCATTTATAATATCATCTGGAAATGAGAAAATAGAAATGGACTTTTCCAGGTACATGAGACCATTTGATAAGAAAAGGATTAAAAGTAGCTATGAAGGATATTTTCTTTGGTCCACTAATGTATATAATCCTTCAATTGATCATGTATATGGTTGTTAAAGTAATGCAGCTAATTAAACCAAAAAATGTCCAAATGGTAAGCCTTTTGTCGGCAAATATACGATCTACTCGAGGTGCACCCATCCAATTACAAAATGAATGTATTAAGAATAGAGAGAGAACAGATTTCGCTCGAATAAAAATACAACCGGCATAACAGGCAAAAACAAATGTCTGTAAAAGATGAACAGCAAGAACAAGCCAATCAACAGTATCACTGCCGGTTATTAATCTTTCGATATAATGATTGATATGGCTTATGCTAAAGAGTCCAGATGATATAAGTATCGATGAAGAAGTGGTAAAACATTGAATCAATACATTTATCATGAGAAAACGGTATAAATATTCTTCAGTGAAAGGTCCGACAAGATAGGCACGAAGGACCGTAAAAAATGGAGGCAATGCATCCGCATTCCATCCTTCATCAATTTCCAAAGCGAAAAGGGTGCCTTCTCGATATGCATCGATTATGGGTCCAATAAACAATATTAATGTTAAACCAACAGGTATAATGATAGATTCAAATAGATAACTGGGTGAAAGACTGAAGGTTGGCTTAATAGTATCATAGTCAATGTAGCCGCTGACTAGAAGAATGATTATTGATGTAACTATCGCACAAAATGTTCCAATGGATCGCAATATTATTCCTTCTCTGGTTTCTCTGAGAGGATAATTTACAGAGAAAAGGGAAAAAAGAGAAAAGAAAAACAATAAATATCAATTAAAATGATGAAAAAAGTAGATAAAATATGCATTTGAAACTGTTGAATAGCAAATATTTAATCTACTCACCTATGGTGACTCCATGCGAGAATATACATAAATACAACAAACAATGTAGAAATCAAACAAGCAAGAAGAAAAGCAATCAATTGGCAAGACATTTTTTTTACATTGGCTTGGCATTGAAATGCTCATTTGACATACGAGAAAAAGGCAAAAAAACTAAATGAGAAGAAGAGGAAGAGAAGGGAGAGAGAGACGATAGTTTAAGGAAAAAGGAAAAGGCGAAAGACAGAGATAGAGATAAAGAAGGATAGAGAAAAGGAGAGAAAGAGAGGTTAAAAGGGAGAATAGCATGATAATTTCTGATTCGCCATTGCCATTGATGCCCGAACTGGTTAATCAAGATGGTAAACAAAAGAAAGATTGTATTTGAATGGATGTTATCGTTGGACAGTTTGCTTTAGTAAATATCATCATGGTGGATAAATGGTTTGCGATTGGTCAAAAAGTAAGAAAAATAATGGAAGACAAAAACGGTTTTACAATCAGGCGAAGAGAAAATATTTAAACTGAATAGGTAACAAGTAGGGAATGTTATGGCGATGATGATGATGATGATGATGAAAATGATGACAGTAATGAAGATGTTGATGAAACAGATTTATTTGGTCCTCTAATTTTACTTCAACTACTACTTCTGATATTACTTGGGTTTCTCCTTTCTCTCATTTCTTCCTCTCTCTCTCTCTCAATTTTTCTTGTTCATTTTCTTCTTCATCTTCTGCACTGCTTTTTCTGTTTCTTTTTCATCGTCTTACTGTTTTTTTCTCTTCTTCACCATCTTCTTTTTCATCTTATAACCAACATTTTGATATCATTGTTGTTATACACCAATTTTATAAAGTTGCGCATTTTTCTTTCTTTTCTCTTTCTTATGGTCTTTCTATGCGCAAACTTTATAAAAGTTAGTGTCAAGCTTGTTAGCTGTACTTTATGTTTACTTTTTGTTCATTCAGTTTAATTATGATTTCATTCGCTATCCATAGGTGCCGCTGAGTTTACTGATAGGAATATAGTGACTCCATTTTCTTTCTCTTTCACTTTCTCTTTCATTTCTCTCTGTTTTTGATCTTCTCTTTCTCTTGGTCTCTCTCTTTTTTCTTCTCTCTCCTCTCTTCATCGTCCACCATGAAAATGAAGAGTAGAAGTCTTTTCAGGCTTTGTGTTTGTTATTATTGTTATGTGTAATTAATGGCTTAATTAAATTGTGGTGACTAATGGACTCCAATTTGAGTACAAGCAGTGCTGGTTCACACAATAGTGATAAAGACTCAATTATTATTTTATCTGGTGATATGACACCCGAGAAACGGGGTAGCGGCCAGGTTGGAGGTGATGGCCGCAAGAGAAAACGTAAGGTTGATGATGGAGTAATCGCTGCTGTTGCTGCTGGGGGAACTGGTAGTAGTAGTGGAGGAACCCAAGGAATGTCTAATACCCGTGGACAAACACCAAATAGTAGCTCTAAAAGTGCTCGTGGTGATTTAAAAAAAATGAATGAATTCTTCAACATAAAACAACACCAGAGTTATTCGCCTAGTCGCTACGGGGGATCTAGATCACCAACTTCACAAGGATATCAACATTACATGTATCCTCCACCTTCCTCACCAGGTACTGTGGGTAATATTCCTGTTTCACCTTCAGTCTCGGTAGCCGGTAATCCACTAAGCTCGCCACCAAATACACCAATAGCATCTGACTGGGTCGGAGGTAATTCCAACCCGGATTATTCAAATATTATGGGTCCACCGATGTCTGGTTTAATGTCTCGACAAGCTACAGTTGTTCCGGTGGGGTCAGTTGTTAATAACTCAGGAGGGCCTACCTCAGTACAACCACCACCACCGAACGCCAATTATCCAACCTATTACTCAAATACTTGTTCAAGAGCTGTACAGACTGACGTAACAATGAAACAATTACGTGAAATAGAAAATAAATCTGCGTCGGATTTGGAGGAACGTGATGGTAAAATAGACGATCTCCAGAGGACCGGGGACGAGTTAAAAAGACAATTACAAGCTCAGTCAAAGTTAATAGACAAACAAAAAGAACAATTAGCCAAGTCAACAGAAGTTACCAAAATGTTGTTAATAGAAAAATCACAAATGGAAAAGAAAGCCGCAAGGCAGAAGTGTATGCAAAATCGTTTAAGATTGGGACAATTTGTTACTCAAAGGCAAGGTGCATCTTTTGTTGAAAATTGGAATGATGGACATGCTTTCACAGAATTAATGAAAAAACAGGAGCAGATAGCTGCTGAAAGAGAAGAAATAGAACGTCAAAGAAAACTATTAGCTAAAAAGAAACCCAATAATGTACAAGTGAAAAAGGGTGATAGGTCATCCAATGTGACATCAAATCAAACATCCAATCAAGGTTCCAACGGAAACAACCAAGTGATATCAAGTAATCTGACACAGTTATCCAATGGCACACTCTCTGGTACTGGGGCAGCTTTCACAGATTTTGTTAAGCCCGAGCCAGTGGCAAGTTCATCTGGAGCTCAAAAAGACTATACCATGTATGAATATTATGAAATGGATGAGATATTAAAACTTAGACAACAAGCTTTAAAGAAGGAAGATGCCGATCTTCAGTTAGAATTAGAGAAATTGGAAAGAGAAAGAAATCTTCATATTCGAGAGCTTAAAAGGATACACAATGAAGACCAATCTCGATTTAACAACCATGCTGTGCTAAATGACAGGTATCTACTATTAACATTACTGGGTAAGGGTGGTTTCAGTGAAGTGCACAAAGCTTTTGACCTCAAAGAACAGAAATATGTTGCCTGTAAAATTCATCAGTTAAACAAAGATTGGAAAGATGATAAGAAGGCCAACTATATAAAACACGCTCTTAGGGAATACAACATTCATAAAAAATTGGATCATCCAAGGATTGTGAGGTTATTTGATGTTTTTGAAATAGATCCAAATTCATTTTGTACTGTATTGGAATACTGTGATGGACATGATTTAGATTTTTACCTTAAACAACACAAATGCATTCCTGAAAGGGAGGCAAGATCTATTATTATGCAAGTGGTTCATGCCTTGAAGTATCTCAATGAAATTAAACCACCAATAATCCATTATGATCTTAAGCCTGGTAAGTATCCATATGTTTTAATTTCTATCCTCTCCTTTTTTTCCTATCAATTTTATCCCTTTTTCCTTTTTTCTCTTATTCTTAATTCTGCTGCTCTCCATATTATCACCACATTATTACGATTTTTTTTTCTCTCCTTTTTAACCAACTATTTCCTAACCAACTTGAGTTGACTCTTTGTCATTTGCTTTTTACTCTCCCCTCCTTGAATATCTTCGTTTTTCCCTTTTTATCGCCATCATCATCATCATTCTTTTCTTCAACTGACAATATGTATCTTAGATTTTTCTTGTTTATTAGATAAGTATAAGTATAAGGTAAAAGAGAGATTACAAGAACTAGTTCGGGCAAAGTAACACAAGTGACGCCACCGACATTTTTATCTTTATATTTATATATGTTTAGACATTATGTGAATCTATCTCTCGCTCTTATTCCCTCTCCCTTGTTGTTGTGATGATGATGATGATGATGATGGTGAGTTCAAATGTCTGCCATTACTATCATCCATTTTTTTTTGCTTTCTCTCTCAGGTAATATTCTACTTGGTAGTGGAAGTATTAGTGGAGAAATTAAAATCACCGACTTCGGTTTAAGTAAAATAATGGACGATGAAAACTATAGTCCCGACCACGGCATGGATTTAACGTCTCAAGGAGCAGGAACATATTGGTATCTTCCTCCAGAATGTTTTGTTGTCGGCAAAAATCCACCAAAAATTTCATCTAAAGTTGATGTATGGAGTGTAGGTGTAATATTTTACCAATGCCTTTATGGGAAAAAGGTAAATCAGTTGAATTTTGTTCATTTTTTTCTTGTATATTATCTATTTCTTGATCTAGCTTCATTAGCTACTGGTTAATCAACATCCTTTTGACTCACTTATTCATCAATATTTTATTTATTCTTATTTTCTTTCATTCTTTTCTATTCAGCCTTTTGGACATAATCAATCCCAAGCCACTATTTTAGAAGAAAACACAATACTGAAAGCAACTGAAGTAGAATTCCCTGCAAAACCTGCTGTCAGTATTGATGCTAAGCACTTTATTCGAAGATGCCTTCAATATAAAAAAGAGGATAGAATAGATGTGCTATCCTTATCCTGTGAAGATTATCTTAAACCCAGCACGAAGCATGGTAGAGGAAGTAATTCTAATGATAAATCAAGCTCCTGAATTGGCTGACCAGAAAGACTTGAAACCAACTAACATTCAGATTTGAGAAGGACTATAAAATCACAGAAGAACACACGAAGAGACAAGCGGATCCGCTTAAGTTACAAGACACGACAATAATGCGAAATGTAAATCAATGTAAATCATGTCAAAAATTTTCCGCTTCATTAACATTTTTCATCCAACTGAATTGGTGAATGAAACAAAACAAAAAAGTATCTTCAAACAGACACTAAAATTACAACTAAAGAAACAAAAATGCTGTGCAAAATAATGCAAGATTATTTTGTTCACATTCACAACCACATTTCAACAACATGATAACAATCAATAAAATAATTCCCAGTTTGAAGAGTTTAATAGCTTGTTTCACTTTCCAATAATAATGCTATTGATATAGTTTCTCCTTATTTGCTACTCAATTGTTTGATGAAAATTATTGAGAAGCCAATTTGGCGAAGACTAAAGAATTATTTATCGAATTGAGAATTACATTTTTCATTTGTTAACTCTTTATTGACCCAATGAAACATCCCCTTAAAATTAATTTAAAAATCAAATCCGGAAAGGTTTCCATCATTTCCAGACGAAACTGATAATCTTCAAATGTTATAAATTTCAAGGGATAAAACAATTGAGTGCAAATTGATAAATGAAACTTATGTCTAAAATTTTGTCTCAACTGGGAATTAATGATGATTTTTGTTAATTATTCAAATTGTGTTATTACCTTCTGTTGTAATAGCCGTTATAAGTTGATGAAACGTTGTATGTCAATAGATTGGAAAAGGTACAATTTAGTTTTGCTATTTCATTTGCTATTTATACATAAATCGTTGCGAAAACGTTCGACATGATATTAAACGTTCAATTATCATTGATAATTGAACGATAATCTAAATTGTGAGTAAAAATCACTTTAGATTTTATAGGAATTACAAGTCTCTAAAGTAATCTGTTTTTTGTATCTAAACAATTGTGAAACCAAAAAAGATGACAAAATTGCAGTCAACACTTCTTAACAGATTTTGGTTGATTCAAGTGTTAAAATTGATCACTCTGAATTTGAATCTGGTTTCTCCATGAAAATTTTCAAATGCTACAAAACTAAACCATGAACCATCATTGAACATTTACATCAATCATTTGTTATCATTCACAGTGAAAGCAGTTTTTTTCAATAATTTTTTTACAGCGAAGAAAAGAGTTGAAATTAATTTCAATGTATTATTGAAAATTAATGATTATCCAACATAAAATTAATCAATCGTTGTAAGTTATATTTTTATTCCAGATAATCATTTGTTTTCAATGGATGAAAATTTTTCTTCTCTGTAAAAAAAAGTAATGAAATAAATGCTTGTATTTGGTATCAAACCCCTTAAAAAATCACTAAACTAACATAAGTGTAATCATCCGATTGAAGATGAATCCCATAATTTAATTGTTGTTCATTCAGTTCATTTCCAGGTTGGATTAATGAGCAATTATTTTAAAAATGGACTTCAATCGTCAAGATCATTTTTCGTTGTGATAAGAGCAAATTGATTCAATGAATCAATCGCTGAAATCACAAATTTGATAGTTTCCAAGTTTTTGGTAATCAATAAAAGTGCGCATTTCAACACACTAACCTAATTGTTTTTAAATTTTCTAATTGTAAAATTCATTTGTTTCACTGAAAAGAACATGTTATTGAAAGACAAAAAATTAGCTTCCAATTGAATATCGGAAAGGAATGGTGATTTAAAGACGCAAACCCACCTAGAATGAGAAAGCAACTTGTTGCAATGAAATTGAATGAGCAGAGGAAAAATGAGAAACTTGAAAGTCGCAACATTTCAAGGAAATTCAATTAAATTGAAGAGATCAATTGAAATATGGAAATAGCCATGATTTTACATTTGCTCTTCCCTGATAATACAGACGAGAAATTATTGAACAAATGCAGCATGAAATATTCCTTTTTTCCTCTCCTTCTTCTGGCTTATCATGTGTTTGGGTTACTTATGGTGCTCAGTGTAGTCATTTTGTTTGTTGTTACTCCTTTTCACTGCACAAGCCCATCCTTAGAGACTCTGAAGATTTAACAATCATTTAATATCGTATCCAGAGAAGGTTAAAGTTTGGATTAATGATTAAGGTTACAGTTTTTTGTTTTGTACAATTTAAAGATGACCAAAGGACTAAAGTTACTTGAAAACTCGGAAATATTTAAAGATTATTCAAGATCAAAATGGTCGATAGTGTCTGAGTAATGCTCCATTTGAGTGGTTTAGTCATTCAATCCATTGTCCAAAGAGTAAATGCATGATTCATTCCAACTTGTAGTCTGTAAAAGAGAAAAGATTTAATTAGTTTTTATTCGTCAATTATATTTTAAAGGTTTATCAAAGCTATATTCTTGGGATAATATTAACAAAAGTTGAAACAGTTTTGTCTTTGTTACAAAAAGTGTCCAAAAAGAGAGTGAAAATTATCTAAAAAAATGTTTTCAACTTACGATTCAATGGTTTTGATGTCCATTTTGCATCCAAAGAGTAACAGTTGGTCAGACGAGATTCTAGTTTAACTGGTAAAATGCTGCTTTTGCAAGATTAAGAGATTAAAAGGTTACTTTTGTCCGGATAAATGATAATCAAAGAGTTAAGAAAACAAAGCGGACTTTTCAAACATAAGCCTATCATAATATTCAAACTAATTAATCACAGTTGTGAATTGTATTCTGTACTTTAGCTAAGAAATTAAGTATAAATTTTATCATTAATTAGCTGTTTGACTTTTTATTTCTAAAATGAATCGCACAATCGAATTAATTAATGGAGAATGTTTACACCCTAAGTAAAAATAAAACTCGACAGAGGGCGCTTAAAAGAGTCAACCAAAACAAATTAAAAAACCTTTTCTGTTACATTCCTGCGATCGTAAGATACATTTAAAATGTTCAATTCTCGTAAATACAGTGAATTTTGTTAAGTTTAATTGCTTTTAAATTTTGTTTATCGAAAATATTGTTAATATTAGAGTGAAATCTTGAGCCGATGATCGGATGATTCAACAACTGAACAATTTTGGTAAGATTTATGAAGATTGTGTAATAAATTCAGCATCATATTGAACAACAAAAATCAGATAAATTATTTCCTTGATTTTTGTCGTTTAAATTTTTATGATGCGATGCAATATAAATCTTTATGATTGTTTTGCGATATCAAAGTTAAAAAGTGTTTTAAAATACAGAAGGATTGAGTTGGAACTGTAAAAACATTTTATTAAATCATTTATAAACATTATAGTAATTTCTGTTTTTTTCATATTTTTAGATCGATTAATAATTTACTTGGCTAAAATATATTCTGAATAAGCATTGATATTGCTTATTCAAATTGTGGACGGATTCAAACAATGGCTAATTATCACTGTGATTCTATTGACAATCAAGATGGACGTTTCGTATTGGAATTTATGGCAATCTCAATTATATTATTACCAAGGAAATAATCGGTGGCTACAATGTTGGCACATCTATTGTACCAGTCATCGCGGAACCATTTGGTAACTAGATAATTGACTGATTGAGCCAGTTTACGAAGTCCGCCATAGGTCAGGAATTTGACTGCATTCGGAGTCAGCTCGGCCATTGCTGCTGAAGGACCAGACGATGAACAAATGGTTCGATTTAAATAACTGGAAAGTTGTGTAATTGAATCTGTATTGGCCCATAGTTGTTTAACTGCTGGAAATAAATATGGTCTACTCATCCTCAAGTATTCTGCGTGTCCTAAAATGAGCCGACGTCCAGTTGACACAATAGAATCGAGGGTTTTCTGATAATTTGAAGCACCTGTGTTCTCCGTCAAATGGTCACCAACAATGGATTCAACCAGATTGAGTAAATCATTGTGACGAGTCATGTTTATCTGGCCTTTAGACTCAAAGCCAAGTGGGAATCGGTGAAAATCCAATATAACAACCTCTTCACTTGTTGAATCCATGAATTGTTTAATTTGGAGTAATACCTCACGAACCGTCTTATCTATTGGATAAAAATCATGAGCAATCCAAAAGTCTTCGCCATGCTTTGGATCATACATAATACGAATGTCCAAATATCTGATAGAAAACGATATCAAACGAAAAGAAAAATTAAAATGATCGAAAAATGTGCTTGGATTCATGTTTAATTAACTCGATAATTTTGACACGGCTTGTTTGATGTAAATCTTGCTTGGTTTTTATGCAAGAAAAACATTAGATGAGGAAAAGTAAACCAAATCAAATCTTTATTAATTGTGCTCAAAGGTCAAAGTGTTTCTATGGAAAATCCAAAACAATTTTTTCTGCGTTCAGTTAAATTCACTTGAATTGGTTAATTTCTACTTAATCTGTTACATTTTATCTGCCGACATTTAATTATCATCTCTAGTCTCAAGATTTCATTAATTATCGAGAAAAAACTCCCAATCAAATGTTGGTCTTCTTCCAGTTTTTATCTCTGGTTGTTGAACACGAGCTCATCTGCGACATCTATTATGATTAATTTTAATCTGTTGCAGTGACTTTGTGTATTTTTTTCTTGTGTTAACATTTTTCTGGTTGTAACCAGTAAAGAGGAACCATTTACATTGACTTTGTTTCCTGTTTTTTGCTACAAAGAAAGATGAAGCAAAACTTCCTTCCAAGATGAAAAGGAATACTGTAAACAGCTGATTGAGAGAGAGAAACTGAGACACAAAGAGGATTCAAAGTTAAATCCTGATAAAACGCATGTCTATCATCATTATCATCATCAACCTTATCATCATCATTGACAACTTGATTCTGCTGTTGGTACTTTTATATACACAATACTAATATACTTTTATACTTTGGACGTGGTTAAAAATGGTGGATCAAAGAAGAAAGAAAGTGAAAAAGAAACTCAATGATCATTTAACAAACCTGTACCTCAAAGGCGTCGATACAAGAGGAAAAAGTAGAAACAGAAAAAGCAAATCAATCGATATCTCAATGATGATAACCTATCATTTTACTAATTTCAATCGATTGTTGTAATGTACTTAGCCTATTATAGGGTATCTGTGTGTGATTAAGTCACCTTTTGCTAAGTAAATGGGACAATGGAAAGGTATCCGTAGCAAAAACCAGGTCAAGATGGTGATCTCCGGGTTAAGAACCATGAGGCTAAAGACAAGAATGGAGGGATCCCAATGTAAATGACCTCTAGTCTACTGAAACAATGACCTACAACTTTTATGGTGCACTGTTAAATGGCGAAAGTTGAAACAAGTATCTTCTATTGACAATATTAATAATTATATTGGATTCTCATTCTATCATAATTTAATATTCCACTTGCTACACCGTTAAAATTAGTTAATTGTGACCAGATTCTTCTTACATTGTAACCGTTTCAAAGCTAACTTGAACATTTGCATAGAAATAAAGCTTTGATAAGCTTGATGGATAATGATTATAAGGTTAAAAACAAAGTGTCACACTGAAACCATTAAATGTATCTCCAAGGTTCGTCAACCATACAAATTGCTCAGCAAGTGTTAATTAGATCTAATTGTAAATGGTTTAGAATCAATTCAATTATCTTATTAGCAAATACATTTTATCAGATGTACTCTTTAATAGTTTAATCTTGATTCATCAAACAGTTTCTTTTTTCCAAAAGATTTAAAGGTCGTTTTCTGATTAGCTAAAGACATACAATACATGCACATGTACCTAATGCCACTTTAATATTTAAAAATTTGAAACTAGGCTATCTTCCTATTTTTGCCATTCATTTTTAGAAAAATTTAAAGATAATTTAATCAATAATTTTTCAAGAGATTTAGTAAACTCTGCTTAAAACTTGAAATAATAATAGAGAATAATCTGGGTAGTTGATTTGAGCAAAGTATTCCAAGCAACTTATTCATAACTTTGATAAAATTTCGTGGGCGTAAAACCAATTGATTCACCATGTAGCAAGCAATAATCCAGATTCATTTAATGGTACCATTGAAAGAGCCATTTGACCTTTAAATCATTTTACATCGAAGCAGATGTAACGAGCAATTAGACAACGCTTGAAATACTGTGTTGAGCCAAGAAATCACACAAAATCATAGAATGTTGATTCCAGTATAATTTAAACCAGCAATAAACATAATTCGATATAATCATAGATCATTTAGTCACACCTAAAATTGACCTTTGAAAATGGAATCTTTTAAACGTGTGAAAAACAAAATTAGTTGATTCCTAACCAACATTGCAACCAACTTCAACAAGTTGCCAATAGCAACTAATCATCTCATCTTGTAAACACTTCAACACTCACTCTTTTCCACATTACTAGATGGCGTCGCATGTTTCATGCCAACATTTTATTGTTAATCTCAAGTTTTAGGTTCATTCAGTAACTATGATTAAAATGATTGAATTAACCCAATTAAGGTCAAGAAATGAGCAGAATTTGTTATTTCTAGCAACTACAGTCAAAGTGTTTAAAAAGCGAATCAGCAAGTGAAGTTATTAAGCGTTGAACCAATGAATAAAAACAAACAATCAAATGTCAAAAACTAGAAATTATTAATCAGATCATAAAAAGCCAGCAATTAAAGAGTCTTGTTTTTGTCCGATGTTTATTAAGACTCAAACAAATACATATATAAATATCTAATAGATCTGGTTGTCCTTTCCTGATTGAATAAAATTGAATTTCCTAATCTAATAACTCAGGATTCAAGGTAAAAATTGATTCTGTAGTCAATATTCAAATTCATTTCTTGTTTCCCTTATAACCAAATGAATTTGAAAATAGCTAAATATGTTTTAAATTGGTCAAGTTTACCATTGGATGAACTTTTCATCAAATGCTCAGTCCAGCAAACAAGTGAAAAGAGGTTGATCTTTTTTTTGCATTTCCATAAGACTTTTGATTTTCATTAATTTACTAATTGAACCAATTTTCTGGTTCAATAATGTTTAGCGAAAGTAAAATTTCTGATATTAGTTGCTTTTTATGCCTTTTTTGGTGCAAGATTCAATCCAAGAACCAGATGCTGAATGGAAACAAAGTTGAAGCCTTAACATTATTTCATTGTCTCAATACAATGCTACACATTTATTATTCATTTATTGTGCTTAATATACCTTTCGCTATTCATGATGAAGTAACAAAACAGTAAAGTGACAAACAATTAAGACCAAAGTCTCCAGTTATCGATTAAGTGTAAATTACCGAAGCAATATTAATATGAAGCAAAACAATGATGAAGTTGCCAGCCAAAATGCACAACAACCTGAACCAATTCAGGGAACAGAATTTTGTTCAATCAAAATATTCTCTTGATATTTACATAATATCAATATCCTTTGAATATTAATACAACCATTAATATCAAATCAATCATCAAAATTTCAATTTAACAAGCAATCTAAAACATTCAACAGTCAATTCCTAAACTCTAACTCTATTAAAATGGGTAAGCAAATGAAAAATCAAGCAAAATTGAAAATCCAAAAAATTCAATGAAAAAGAAGCAAAATGAACCAAATGTCTGCCTGAGTCAAGAATTGATAGAAGGTCAAAAATTTCTGATTCAGAATCTAGAAAAAAAAGAGAAATTTTGATTTCTGTTTTACCATTGAAATTTCAATGTTCACTTTGACCTTTGAATATCGACTGAATATGAAAACTAGGATTTAATGTTGAATCTAATGTTGAGCTAATTAGTGTTGGATAAAAGGATAAACTGAAAGGTTTGGGTTAAATTGTTGTCAAACCACGAAAGGATAAACATTTTGGTTTATCTTTTCTCATTAAATTGCTATTAATAGACTGAAAATTTGACACTGAAAGGCGAATTTGATTCCGATGAGATTCCCTTGTCTGATGAGTATTCATTTCTATTCAATTGAATCAATGTTTATCAATTAATAAGACACAAAATTGAATCAATATCTGGTTCAATCCAAACTGATCACTTGTTTGACATTCATTATGAGACATGAAAACATTCAATTTATACCGTCCATTAATCAAGTAATCTTATTCACTCAAATTGTTCATGTTATTCCCCTTTAAACTAATATTTGCTTCAACCAGACCTTCGTTTCATTTCATTTTTTGTTTGTTTCCATTTTCATTTCATGTAAACAGTTGAAACTGGGCGAAATGTTTCAATGTTTTTTTAGTCAAAGAGAAAAGATATTTTATGGAAAAAAAGTTAGTTAAATATTTGGTTAAATAAGAGCTATTAGATAATGGTAGACATCAAAAATGAATAAAGAAACTAAAAAATCTGGAAAATTGCTTGAAAAGCGATTCCCAAATTCAATTTTGATTCCAATCAGATGACTTTCGATATTGACTTTTGACATGTTTTGTCACGACTAGGACGTTGACTATAAACAAGAATTAGCTGTTCAACTGCTCAGCCATCTGAACATCCATTAGTTTTCAAAGTATTCAAAGTGTTTAACATTAAGAATTGCAAGATCGAGCTTTAAGTTTTTTGATTTTCTTTGCAACTGATAACTGAAATGATTGAGCGAAGACCAAAGAAATCAAAATTTCTTTCAATTTTGACTTTTGTATCTTGCAGGCTGATCTTTCTCAACAGCTCCAATCTTTAAAAGGTCGAGCTCAATTAGACTGAAAGAGCAGTAGATTGATTTCAGCTCGAATTCAAGCTTTCAAAGATTGACCTTTTTCTGTCCTACTCAATGAACTGCGATTTACTCATTGACTAATGAAAATCTTTGAAATTTGCATTCCTTTGTAATCCAACCTTTTATAAGCATTGAAATCAGATCCGCTTCATTTGAACAACTTGAACAATTTGACTTTTTTAATCATTGAATTTTGTTACTTTGAAAAGACTCGATTTAGATGCAGATTTGAAAACTTGAATCCTTCAGTTCATTGACAAGTCAACGCTTTTCAACACTTGAATTGCTTAACCAATTCAACTTTTGCCTGGCTGTTAGGGCTTCAGCACTCAACTCATTTTGATCATGATGATTATGAATAAATTGAATGACAAGTTTTAAAAATGTTGATTCAAAACTGAATTAATTAACTGACACTTTGCTTTTAATTGAAGGTCTCTGGTTTGATTGCAACTTGTTTTAATTGGTTCAATTTCACAATTTCGCCATTCATTTTTGCTCCATCATGAGTGTTCTCAATGGAATTGATTATCTCTTTTCAATCTGATTTGGACAGAAAATTGTGAATGGAAAAAGCTTCTTTGTCAAACATTCGTTTCTGGTTCTCGATTCTTGTGTTGAAATGCTGCTTTTGTGGTTGGCAACTTTTCCATCATGTAGTTCATCATGCATCATGAACAACCTTGTTTTCTCAATGATTTTAATGGAGTGAAAAGTTATTTTGTTTTCGGTTAGTTCGTCATCATTGATAACTCACTGTACTGGGAATGGTAAATGATGATAAATTGATTCAAGAATACTACTGATGACAGTTGTAGGGCTAAATAACAAGTGAAAACTTGAATTCAATTGCTTGCACCATTATTTCATGTGAGGCTTTAATGCCAACCAAAATGTGATATTTATCTATTAAATCAACTGAAATGCAAACATTTAGATAATTTTATTGTTGCCATTATTATTTCATTCTCATAAACACAATCTCTTGAGCTTTTATTAACTTTTATTGTAATTTTGATCCATTAAACCTTATTAAAGCACAATGATTATCTTGAGGAAAATGTTACTCCATTTTTGCTAATGTGTTTGTATAAATGGTCAAGATTAGAGCGAGTTGGTCATTACTGTAATATTAATAAATTGACGATCATGATAACTACATGAATTACATGCATTAGCTCATCAGTTTCAATTTCAAGGACTACAAGATTAGCATTCAATGGAAAAATCGATTTATAACATGAGATAACAATCGATTTATATTAGTTTCTTATGAATTGTCTAGATTTTAAATACGATTTGATTAACAAATATTACACCGATTGCATGTGTCTATTGGAAGCAAAATAATGCTATCGATTTTCGATCTAAAATCGGCTTAAATATGCGATCCTCTGAGAAATCGATTTTGAAGGGGTAAAAATCGATAGAATGGGCATACGTGATCGATAAAAAATCGACTCATCCAACAATCGATTTTTATCAACTATCCTTAGGTACTTTGGTTAATAAATCTGAAAAAAAACATATGGATATCAAAAGTCTTGACATTCAAGTGGGTTTGACAATCAATGACGAGGAAAGATAACATAAATTGACTAAAAGCTCATGAAATCTCACATGGAAATGACTGACCGTTCAAACTAAACTCCCAGTTGACAAGCCTTCTGGGAATGAATTCTAGGAGTGAATATTGGGAGTGAAATCTAAAAGCAAATTATTGATCAACCAAATCAATCAGAGTTTTTATTCAATTTATTAGTCCAACTTTGATATCTTTATACTTACCATTGATTAATTCAATATCTGATCAACCTGACAATGTCGACATGAATATATTATATCTAAAACTCGAGGTAATATGAAGTAAACAGAAAAACAGAACGCAGAAAAATTCAAATTTTGGACTTTTTCGAGAAAAATTATGGAATATTCAAGATTTTTCCATGAAATCCCATAATTAGATCATGAATTTTACATGAACCATTGTGTAATCTAATTTGGACAAAATTATCATCTTTGAGTAAATAATCTCACAAATCAGATTATTTTCTCAGAAATAACCTGAGCCACGAGTCTTACCTGTTGCCGTAGACAAGTTGATTAAAAACATCTTCATCTTGACAAAGCGAGTAAGCATTCAAAAGTCTGTTTAACAAACCCGTTTCATAACCAACCGAATAACTGCCAGAATTGTGGGTTCCGGGTAACATCAGGGAAGACAAGGGTTTACTCCCAATGGTTTGCTTGTGTTGAGCCATCCAAAAAGGTCGACTGGGAATGCAGTTGGTCTGCTTAACCTGACCATCTTCAATCCAAGCAACAAAATACTTTAAACAACCAGAAGTAAGTGGACCTTGATTGAACCTGAAAACTGGAAACTGAATGTTGGTTCTGTCGTGACAAAAGGCAAAGGTAGAACCAGGTTAGTTGGTGAATAGATGTAATCATTGGTGAAGCCATGTAAGGTATAAAAGGAATGGATAATGAAAAGGAAAAGATAATTGTTAGTATCAAAATAAATGGGTTGCAAGTTCATTTCATCATTAAATGAATATGTTCATTATTGTTCAACAAGACTCAGACAAGTCCAAGATAATAATGTCGAGAAAATAAGACAATCATGTTTGTCTCAACTTTCATATTCAATAAACCATTCAATAGTTTCCCTGTTTATTTGCGTGTTGATTAACCTGAAACTCACCAACTCTGTTTGCACCTTGATTCCTCTTCAGAAATGCTGTTTATCCTCTTAGAGAATAATCATGATGAGAATTCTGATAAAGAACAAATTTTCGACTTTCGTTTTCTTCTTTCAGACTTTTGCTTAAAATAGCCAAGAATATCGAGTTTTTCATGAAAATTTCATGTCAACATGTCGTTGCATTTACCTATACCTCATCACCCACTGAATTACATCTGATTCATCTTAAAAACTAAAGAGAAAAACAGAAATTCTACAGAATATCAGATTTTACTTCAATTTGATTTTTTCTCTTTTTCCAGCTTCTCTAATTTCGTTAACTCATCAACTCATTAATTTGCTGAACAATTTGCCTTTATCATGTTAACATGAAAACAATTTACCTTTAAGTATCAAATGTCGCCCTTGCCAGTCAAAGTAAGTGACGAAATTGAAATGGAATCAGAAAATGAGATTAACCCATTTTCAATGGAAATTCATTATCAACAGATAAATTCATTTCATGAATGAAATGTTGCAAGAAACATTATTCAATAAAAGCTCAATATTACTTATCATTTTTCATTTGCAAATTTCATCACACTTTTCTCATGTTAATCTCTTCATTTAGTAACATATTTTTAGTTCAATTTCATTTCTCCATCCCTATATCACGATTACTTTGGCTCATACAACATTTTGTTTCCATTTTTTCTTCAAATATTCATCTGAATCCATTTACATACATTTATCATGATTAATGGTTGAAACAAGTTGATTCATGTGAGTAACGAAAATAACGAGTTTATCCAACAAGTAAACTTGAACAATATGAATAAATTATTAGACAATTAGCATTGTATTAATTTACCAACCAAATGGCAAGAGTTTATTGTCCGATATTTTTCGCTAAATTAATTTTCCATATTCACTCCCAGCAAACTGGGATTGAATTTGATAAGTTTCTTGTTCGCTTTCTTTTGCTATTTTTTAGACTCTAAACGTATCGAGTAAGAAAGTCATTAACCATTGATCTACCTTTTGTCTTGATGAGCAAATATTGATAACGATTTTTACTGGCAATGAAACTTATTCTGTTATATAAGATAATATAAATATTTGATTATGGCAAATCAATTTGGTTCATGAAAGGTAAATGTAGATATTAATAAACAGATTGAGAAATGATTGGTTTGAGCAAAGACTGAAGTATTATTTTGCAAGATTTATTGATTGATCAATCTTTCATTATAACTCTTAATGAGGCCATGATGGGGTGAAATCTGAGTTTGATTTTACCTCATCTTTTGAGTAGTAGTGAGTAAGTGACACATTTTTATGTGGGCGATGCTTCCGTTAATTTTTGATTTAATTTGTTCATGCTTCTGTTGTTGTTATTAGTAACATGAGTAAAATCAGCAAATCGAATGAATGTTGACCAAACGTTTGAATGAAATGATTTTGTTTGGTTTGTGAATGAACTTCTAGCTACGAAAAGATATTTTATCTTTATATTTTATTTACATTTTCTTTAACATTATCGATCTTTTGTCAGAAAATTAAACCACTTAATAAATCGATCGATTTACTCGTTTGTTGTTTGTTTGTCATTGGAACAACTGTATTTAAAAAAAGACTTTTTCACAATTTTTAAATTCAATTGAGTAACCGCAAAAGTCTGACATTTTTCATGTCAACTGCCTCTTGAAATTTTCAACTTAAGTTGTTCAAATCTTGCCGACAAAAAGATAGTATAAAATTTCAATCGATCTAGTTATGTGAAATCTATCGATTTAAATTCGAAATTGCTTTTTGTAAGATCAAGTTTCAGCAGCATGAATCAAACGATACAGAAAATTACTTTCAAAAAGTTCAATAATTCAGTGAAAGAATCAGAGAAATCGAAATTGAATATTAAGGATTGACCGGTTGTATAAAAGTTTAGCATAATTTTTAATTGTTTACTAGCCATTACGCTAGCTATACAGGACATTTTAGCTAATTTTTAGGATGCCTTTTGCCTATTACTATTGATTTTAGATTATGAGCAGATATGATTAAGTTTTTCAGATACTCATTCGATATAAATGTATTTCAAGGCCAAGACCATTGAAGTTCATTTTTCGGAAAGCACCTATGATTATGCTAAAGGATGGATAAATCTTAATGATTGAGCAAAGATGCTTTCGTTTCATAAGAAATTGATATTGAAGTTTGCAAACATAGTTGAATGAATTTTCTCTTTCTAAAATTTTCACAAGGTCATTCAAGGCCCCCTTCCAAGGTTACCTAAACTAAGTTATCCTTGTTACCCCGTTTAAACTTGTCCGCTTCTGAGTCAATTCATGCCTCAAGGTCACTCAGGGGCCGAGTAATGAAGATTTAGCAACGGAAAAACTACCCTTTATAATCAGGATTCAAAATCGAGAATAAATTGTTCAACTAAAATGTTTACTCATTAATCAGTATAAAATTTTTCCAGACGTCAAGTTGCGAAAACTTACATGATGAGAAAATTTCAGACAAAAGCTACTTTTTAATAATTCATTTTAACAGTAACTAACGATCTCAATCTCAAATTTACCGAAAATTGAAAAAATTAAGATTAACTCTTATTTTATGCTCAATCAACATCATAATTAAAAAATTAATGCTCCTAGTCCTGAAAATGCATTAAAAATTTACCCATAACTCGCTTCACTTAATCCAGTAATAAAACGAAATTGAAATTTTTTTAAAAATAAGGAGCATCACAAATTTTTATTACAATCATTATTAATGCTTGAGCATCCTTTGCTATTTAATTTCTGTAGTTGATTTAACTTTTTTAGATTAAAATTCCAGGTTTAAGCTACGAATAAGAATGAGCCTATGTAAAATCACCAAGCTAGAAATTTAAAATTTCCAATCGAAATAAGATTTACAAGTGTTTCTGAATTGCAGCTCACAATGAAACTTCCTGTTATTATAAATACTTGCAATTTTATTCATATTTGTCAGATATTGCGTCGTAATGAACAAAAACATTGAATAAAAAAATTATACACACTAATGTTATTGTGAGAGTACACGTACGATACTAGAGTACTAGACGTGTACATGACGTAATCATTGCGTCCTCATGGCAACCCTTCTAGAAGCTTCTGTTGTAACCTTATCACATGTATATATAAGAGAGTGTGCTTTACACCTATGGATACACTTACTTACTGTACTTCCGTCTCATCATCTTACCCTTATTGTTAACCCCTTTGTATATATAATTATTACCCAATAAACCTAACCTTTGGCTAAACCATATCCACTCTCTCATGGTAGCAGAGCGTGGTTAGCCAGTCTCTACCTTAAAGTAATTTTGCCATTGTGTTTTTAAGTAGTTAAGTACTGTGTTACTATTAAGTGTTAAACATGGCAAACAGTTCCTTACTTCAAGTCGATAAGCTCAGCGATTCAAATTATGAAACGTGGAAGATCCAGATGCAAAGTGTACTGATCCATAACGACTTATGGGAAGTTGTCACTGGTACTAAGGATGCTGAGGACAAGCAATGGGACCGTAAGGACGCTAAGGCTAAGGCAGAGATTACTCTAAGTGTTAAACCATCGAATTATCGTCTATTCAAGAACGCGAAGACTGCTGCAGATGTATGGACCGCGTTAGGTGAAGCGTACGAGAAGAAAGGACCTTCACAGTTGGTAACAACGTTCAAGAAGTTAATCAAGATGAGTTACCAGACTGAACAAAGTATGTCCAGTTATCTGGAAGAGTTCTTCTCTACGGTAGATACGTTGACTAATTTGGGTCTTACGTTGGACGATAAATTTATCTCAGTGATGTTGTTGGTTAGTCTGGGTGATAGTTACGAGATGTTTGTAGTTGCCATCACAAGTCATAATGAAGTACCGTTGCCTTCAGTACTTAAGTCTAAGATTTTGGAAGAGGAGTTAAGAAGGACAAATGGCAATACTGTTATCACAAATACGGCGTTTGGTATTAAGTACTCGCAACAAGCGAAACGTAAAGGACTGAGAATCAAGTGTTACAACTGCAACAAGTTTGGTCATATTGCAGCTAAGTGTGGTAACGTACGTAGAGAGCGTACTGTTATTGACAGAGGTCAAAGCGTCTCAAACTCACAGACGATACTATCTCTTGGATCTAGTACTAAAGATCACCATCTTTGGGTGTTGGACAGTGGAGCAACGGCTCATGTATGCTGTGAGAGAAGCTATTTCAAGAATTTAAGTATTAACAGAAGTGTTATCTCAGTCGCAGACGGAAGATCAATTCCAACGATTGGAAGTGGTGACATTGAAATGATGATCGGTGGTCGATCAATGTTAATTAAGAACGTACTTTATGCTGAAGAAGTAGATTGTAATTACTTATCAGTAGGTCAACTCACATCGAGAGGAAGTAGAGTTGTATTTAAACCAAGAGTTGCGTACGTGTTAAGTAGTAAAGGACAAAAGGTCATCGAGTTTAAATTGGAGGATAAACTATACGTTTATAAACACGTGTATGTGAGTAAATTAGCAGCCATCAAGTCCAGTACGTCCAATGAAATGATGTTGATCCATAGGAGGTTTGGACACGTCAACTTTGATACTATTAAGGACATGATTATGAGAAAGTCAGTTTATGGACTTAGACCTGAGCGGGTACGTGACGCTCGTTGTGAATGTTGCTTAAGGAACAAGATAAGTCAGT